TGGGGTACAGGTAACAATGGGTACATGTTACAGTGTGGTACGGGAAAAGTGGGGTACAGGTAACAGTGGGGTACAGGTAACAGTGTGGTACAGCTAACATTGGGGTACAGGTAACAATGGGGTACATGTACCAGTGGGGTACATGTTACAGTGGGGTACGGGAAAAGTGGGGTACAGGTAACAGTGTGGTACAGCTAACATTGGGGTACAGGTAACAATGGGGTACATGTACCAGTGGGGTACATGTTACAGTGGGGTACGGGAAAAGTGGGGTACAGGTAACAGTGGGGTACAGGTAACAGTGTGGTACAGCTAACATTGGGGTACAGGTAACAATGGGGTACAGGTAACAGTGGGGTACATGTTACAGTGGGGTACGGGAAAAGTGGGGTACAGGTAACAGTGGGGTACATGTACCAGTGGGGTACATGTTACAGTGTGGTACGGGAAAAGTGGGGTACATGTAACAGTGTGGTACAGCTAACATTGGGGTACAGGTAACAATGGGGTACAGGTAACAATGGGGTACATGTTACAGTGTGGTACGGGAAAAGTGGGGTACAGGTTACAGTGGGGTACAGGTAACAGTGTGGTACAGCTAACATTGGGGTACAGGTAACAATGGGGTACATGTTACAGTGTAGTACGGGAGAAGTGGGGTAAAGGTAACAGTGTGGTACAGCTAACATTGGGGTACAGGTAACAATGGGGTACATGTACCAGTGGGGTACGGGAAAAGTGAGGTACAGGTAACAGTGTGGTACAGCTAACATTGGGGTACAGGTAACAATGGGGTACATGTTACAGTTTGGTACGGGAAAAGTGGGGTACAGGTTACAGTGGGGTACAGGTAACAGTGTGGTACAGCTAACATTGGGGTACAGGTAACAATGGGGTACAGGTAACAGTGGGGTACAGGTACCAGGTAACAGGTAACATTGGGGTACAGCTAACAGTGGGGTACAGGTAACAGGTCACAGTAGGGTACAGGTAACTGTGGGGAACGGGTAACAGTGGGGTACAGGTAAAAGGTAACAGTGGGATACAGCTAGCAGTGGGTTACAGGCCGCAGTGGGGTACAGGTAAAAAGGATTTGATTGTTACTTAAGAAATATCTTATTGTTTTAAGTTAAATGCATGTACGAGGGGTGTTCCATAAGTTTTGCAACTTCAATATAAGACCAAGTCGCAGAATATCTTTTGCACTTTTATTTTTCAATATAAGCTGGCAGTTAATTGTTACAATATCATGTTTCTCCTATCTCGGGACGGGGTAAAAGGGGATATTTCCACAAATGGCTATCCTCTGTAACTTTGGTAACGCGCCGAACAGCTCAAGCAATCAACAGAGGCTCGCATTTCAGCTTCCGGCTTTATGAGAGAAGCTGACAAGAGTAGTCTCCCTTACACCAGTCAGTTGGTAACTGACTTCTTCAAATCGCCATCTATTTCCCACATCCTTACACTAACAGGGTCCGCGTCACATTGCATGATCGGGAAGATCTGTACAGATAAGGCAGATCACACCAGGGTGTGATAGTTGTAGACGGATCGGCTAGTTAGTATGTCAGTGCAAGAGAACTCCTAGTGACCTACTGTAACATGTGTCATAGAATGCTTATGCAGGTTGACTTGACAAGATTGTCAGGTTGATTGGAATATTAAACTATCTGGAATTATCTCCCTTGTACAAAAGCACTTGTTGTTAATCAGACACATTGAAGTGTCTTTGCTGGAGACCGCCTCCGTGATCTTGTGGTAGAGCGTCCGCCCGGAGAGCGGAAGGTCAGGAGTTCGATCCCGGCTGCGTCCTACCAAAAGATGTTAAAAGATGGAACTTGTTGTTACCCTGTCTGGCGCTCGGCATTACGGGGCTAAAACAAGGACTGGTAGGCTCGGAGTCAGTATACTGTGTCTGAGTGGGGTATTCATGTTAAACTGCGGCATGGTATCTCAGTGAGCTGGATATAATATCGGCATCAGTCCGGACTAGTAGAAGCAGGCACACACACACGTGCATGCACGTCGCTATATAAGTGCAATAATCCCAATTTCACCTCACCTCACCTTTGCTGGAGACATGTCTTGGTCATTAATGCCTTACAACAAGAAAATATTTTAGGGGTGCTTCATCGTCGTGCTGAGCGGGTTGGATGGGTTGGTTCTGTGGATTTGGGGTTATATGAGTTTAGTTTGTTTACAGAAGATTTTAATTAACACTTCAAAAGTTCTGAATAGTTTCAGCCTTATTGAATATTGTATCATTGCTGTTGCGAACATCACGTGAACGTTTATGAAATAGAACACAACGTTATGCATGATAGCTAATCTTTCCAGAACTAAATATTTCTCCTCCCCAATACAGTTTTCATTTACCAACCTTGAATCGTCGTGTAACCGTTTGGACAATTTCTATTGTCAGCTTTGTGGTTCATAGATTAAAACTACGTCTCCAATTACATACGAAATACTAGAGGTTGTAAATGCAGTCAAGAGTCAAGATTCTTTATTTGAATATCTTGGCCCAGAGTATAAAACATGTATATCTAATTTATTTGTGGATCTTAAACAATTGATATACAATTATTCCATGGTACGTGACGTAATACATAATACATAATTATGTTTGTTTTTTGGCATTTTTTAAAATTTGATTTTCATACATTTCTCATCAGATACAAAGCAAGATCTGAATGTGTTGTAGAGGACATAAGTTCAATTAATGTCTGACGAGTAGGATGTTTAAGGTTATATTGTGGAATGAATGTGTTTCTACGTTGATTATTATATGAACAGACTAGTGCTGTCAGCAATAATGTAGACATGTATCATAGCAACATGTTTATATGATCGACTCTTGGCCAAACTAGTGGCTGATAGTACGAAGAGTCGACAAACGTCCACGTCATTAAAATACAATAACACACATATTATTCTGCAGGCCAGACAAAGAAGCCAACCAACTAATTCAGTCGGCTCTTGTGATCTGGGAAACAGTTTAGCCCATGGATTAGAGTGAGTGAGTGAGTGAGAGAGTGAGTGAGTGAGTGAGTGAGTGGCAGGCATCGCTAAGAAGCCAACCAACTAATTCAGTCGGCTCTTGTGATCTGGGAAACAGTTTAGCCCATGGATTAGAGGTGAGTGAGTGAGTGAGAGAGTGAGTGAGTGAGTGAGTGAGTGAGTGAGTGGCAGGCATCGCTAAGAAGCCAACCAACTAATTCAGTCGGCTCTTGTGATCTGGGAAACAGTTTAGCCCATGGATTAGAGGTGAGTGAGTGAGTGAGAGAGTGAGTGAGTGAGTGAGTGAGTGAGTGGCAGGCATCGCTAAGAAGCCAACCAACTAATTCAGTCGGCTCTTGTGATCTGGGAAACAGTTTAGCCCATGGATTAGAGTGAGTGAGTGAGAGAGAGGGTGGGTGAGTGAGTGAGTGGGTGAGTGAGTGAGTGGCATCACAAAGAAGCCAACCAACTAATTCAGTCGGCTCTTGTGATCTGGGAAACAGTTTAGCCCATGGATTAGAGGTGAGTGAGTGAGTGAGTGAGTGAGTGAGTGAGTGAGTGACAGGCATCGCTAAGAAGCCAACCAACTAATTCAGTCGGCTCTTGTGATCTGGGAAACAGTTTAGCCCATGGATTAGAGTGAGTGAGTGAGAGAGTGGATGGGTGGGTGGGTGAGTGAGTGAGTGGGTGAGTGAGTGAGTGGCATCACAAAGAAGCCAACCAACTAATTCATTCGGCTCTTGTGATCTGGGAAACAGTTTAGCCCATGGATGAGAGGTGAGTGAGTGAGTGAGTGAGTGGGTGGGTGGATGGGTGAGTGATTTATCATGAGTGAGCAATATGGCGGAGTAGAGACACCAGAACTGGGCTCCAAACATTGTACCCATAAGGGGAATCGAACCAGGGCCTTCAGCGCGACGAGCGAACACTTTAACCACTAGCTAGGCTTTCCCCACATACACACATGATTGGGGCGGTCGGGTAGCCTAGTGGTTAAAGCGTTCGCTCGTCACGCCGAAGACCCGGGTTCGATTCCCGACATGGGTACAATGTGTGAAGCCCATTTCTGGTGTCCCCCGCCGTGATATTGCTGGAATATTGCTAAAAGCGGCGTAAAACCATACTCACTCACTCACTCACTCTGGCTGTTCCCTGACTGACCATGTCAGTCGGGTTTTGTAGAGCGAGGTATTACGTAACGTGTGGCAAGGTCATTGTCCCACGTGTATGTATATATATATATATATATATATATATATATATATATATATATATATATATATACACGTAAGAACCTGCGACGTAAGGAGGTGTTAATTGAAATTTATACATAGCGCTGGAGGAGCTTATGATAAGAGGGGATACGCCGAATGTTTGCTGAATATATTAAACAGACAAAGGGCATAGAATTTCGGTGCACTTGGAAACATATTGAACCAGTTAGGTATTTAGATAAATGAAATGTAAAATAAAAGTATTGAAATGGTTTGCACTATTTTAAATAAAGATATTGAAATGGTTTGCACTATAACAATATCCATGAAATGACTGATAAATAACCAAAAACAACGTTATTTCAATAAATCACTGATACTAATTCAGTCACGTTATGAAATTTTGAAGGTTTAAAATTATGTGTATGAAGGAACGAGTGAGGTTCACCATCACCATTCAAGCTCCATCGGTCGGTAACTAATTTAATTTAGAGCAGTGACTGATATTTCAGACTTTGATTCAACCCTACGGGCATTTTTGGACGGTAAATTCTAGATTTGATTTTAGAGTCCGATTATGACGTCATAATCACTGTTGCGCAATCCAATGAAGAATTCAATATGTTTATGTTATTTGATATATGAACTAGTTTAAAATATAAGGTAATATATCTGTTGTAGATTTCTTTGAAAGCAATAAAAATCCGTGAAGAACTCCTTCCGTTTCAGAACATTCACTCAGTTTCATCTTTTACATATACCCGTCCTCTCGCTGTTTCTCGGGAGGCTCGTGACGATACAAGCATGGCGTCCGCCGTGAAATTGAATGATATGACCGAGGGTTGGAATAAATGGCAGCTTGGATTAGTTGTGGGTGTTGGAGCTCTAGGGGTCGCCGGACTTTGGTATTATATGAGAAGGAAAGGAGAGGTCAAGGTCGATAAGATCGACATTGTCGATTCTAACCAAAATGCCAGCAACAAGCCGTCTGCTAAACCGAAGGTAAAATGGGAATGGCGTAAATCCCCATGGTTATAAATAACTCTCTGGTTAATTTCCTAGATTGTTCCCCCCGAGTCAAGCTGTATGCCATTTATGTCTCCAAAACGCTTCATATTTTGTACAACGCAGTGCATGTGCACGCCACAGTGATTATGCTAGAGACCTATAGCATAGGATATATGGCCTAGTTTCAACCGATTTGATAGTTTAGATGTATCTATACGATTAGGTCGTTTGCCTTGAGCATGTTGAGAGGTATTTAGAGGTTGGAGTACTAAGAATGCTAAGTGAGGATAAAATATCGGGATGAACAACTTCTTTTTTTACAATAATGAGTGACGTTTTAGTGACAGGATGAGAGGGACTTATATATATAGACTCTATAGGCCTGTACAAATGAGGAAGTGTTTTTACAGTTAAATGCCTCTCATCCAGACTTTGTATATTACTTGATTCATAACGGTGATAGAAGCTATACAGAAACATCACTCCTGATTGTAATCTAGTTCTTATCCTTACTGGGGCGGTCGGGTAGCCTAGTGGTTAAAGCGTTCGCTCGTCACGCCGAAGACCAGGGTTCGATTCCCGACATGGGTACAATGTGTGAAGCCCATTTCTGGTGTCCCCCGCCGTGATATTGCTGGAATATTGCTAAAAGCGGCGTAAAGCCAATCTCAGTCAGTCAGTCTTATCCTTACTTAGTTTAGTTGTGTTATGGTTAGGGTAGGTTAGCCTTTGAATCCCCTTTCCAGTTATGCACCCCATTATCATCATAAGGGTTAAGTACCCCTTTCCTATCCTTGGGGTAAGCTGTGAATTTGATAAAATGATGAGGTATCTCGCCACTCTTAACAAATTTATGCATTCTTGATTACTTGAAGAAGATAGGTTCAGTTTTTATGAAGTGACAATGATCTGCAAGCATTGTGATGCAATATTATTTTAGTGACATCAATGAACACAATGCCATTTAGGAAGTGGTCAGATGTGACAAATTTTATATTTCGTTACATTAGTGAAGTTACAAAGTTTTTGCACAGACTGCATAAAATTACAATGTGTGACTTGTCTGATTGTGTGTCCTGTCCACTGGGCATTTGTCTGGGAAAGACGAAAGTACCCCCAGGCTGTTGTTGTGTTAGCTACGCCCCTTGGAAATTCCTGTTCACATGTTGCACTTGTCATAAGAGCTGAAGATAATCGGAATCAGGTAGTCATTCTCTTTGACTTGGCTGATGTTGTGTCTTCAATTCCATAATCATGTGGCCGTACTGCATGGATCGATGCTCATGATATCAATCACTGGAATGTCTGGTCGACTATGCTTGTCGTAAGAGGCGACTAACTGGATCAGGTGGTCAGGCTCGCTGACTTGGTTGATGCATGTCATCGAATCCCTATTGAGTGGATCGATGCTCATAATATCAATCACTGGATTGTCTGGTCCAGACTCGATTATTTACAGACCGCCGTCATATAGCTGGAATATTGCCGAGTGAGGCGTTATACAACAAACAAGCCAACCATAATCGTGTGAATCATTGCTCATGTTTTCAGTCACCGGTTTGCCTGGTTCTTGTTCAAGTATTTATTTGCGAAATGTGCTTGTGCTTTGAGTAGTACGTTATGTATGAGTGGGAAAGTTTGGCTTTCCGTCACTTTTAGCAATATTCAAGCAATATCAGGGCGGGGGACACCAGAAATGGTCTTCACATGTTGTACCCATGTTGGGAATCGAACTCGGGTCTTCGGCATAATGAGCTGACGCTTTAACCACGAGGCTACCCGGCTGCCCCCATAATGTTATTGCAGGGTATTATATCATTAGAATTGAAATATTTTGTGAATGCAACATGATCGTCATGATCAATGAAAGGAGATCAGGGTTTCACATGATACAAGGGGCGGTCGGGTAGCCTAGTGGTTAAAGTGTTCGCTTATCACGCCGAAGACCCGGGTTCGGTTCCCGACATGGGTTCAATTAGTGAAGCCCATTTCTGGTGACCCCTGCCTTGATATTGCTGGAATATTGCTAAAAGCGGTGTAAAACCATACTCACTCACTCACTGGATTGTCTGGTCGAGACTCGATTATTTACAGACCGCCGTCTTATTGCTGGAATATTGCTAAAAGCGGAGTAAAACCATAATCGCTCACTCACATGATACAAGAAGGTCGCGTATTCCAGTTTCAGATTCAAGCCACGGTTGCGGAATATTTTGCTGAAATTTCAACTCAGTGCAGAAATGTACCTTTCTTGCAGAAATCACTTTTTGTGCACAACTCTGGTAGAAATTTCCATTTTACATCAACTTCACTGCATACCAGTAATTTAAACATCCCAATCAAAAATCCGTTCGAAACATGTGAAAGTTGAATTGGGTATACCAAAGTCTTTATTTGAGGGTTTTGTATTAATTAAATCATTCCAAATAATTATATGATGTGTTTGTGTAATATGGAAATTTGAAAAAAAACAATTTACAATCTTTTAGACATTTGTGTTTTGTGAAATGGTTAAATGATTGTGTCTTGCATTCAGGGTTGTATATGGTTATTGTCATGATTGTGTGTTACAGTCAAAGAGGGATATGGTTATTGTCATGATTGTGTGTTACAGGCAAAGAGGTATATGGTTATTGTCATGATTGTGTGTTACAGGCAAAGAGGTATATGGTTATTGTCATGATTGTGTGTTACAGTCAAAGAGGTATATGGTTGTTGTCATGATTGTGTGTTACAGTCAAAGAGGCATATGGTTATTATCATGATTGTGTGTTACAGGCAAAGAGGTATATGGTTATTGTCATGATGGTGTGTTACCATGGTTACAGTCAAAGAGGTATAAGGTTATTGTCATGATGGTGTGTTACAGTCAAAGAGGTATATGGTTGTTGTCATGATTGTGTGTTACAGGCAAAGAGGTATATGGTTATTGTCATGATTGTGTGTTACAGGCAAAGAGGTATGTGGTTATTGTCATGATTGTGTGTTACAGGCAAAGAGGTATGTGGTTATTGTCATGATTGTGTGTTTACAGGCAAAGAGGTATATGGTTATTGTCATGATTGTGTGTTACAGGCAAAGAGGTATGTGGTTATTGTCATGATTGTGTGTTACAGGCAAAGAGGTATGTGGTTATTGTCATGATTGTGTGTTACAGGCAAAGAGGTATGTGGTTATTGTCATGATTGTGTGTTACAGGCAAAGAGGTATATGGTTATTGTCATGATTGTGTGTTACAGGCAAAGAGGTATGTGGTTATTGTCATGATTGTGTGTTCAGTTAAAGAAGTATATGGTTATTGTCATGATTGTGTGTTACAGTCAAAGAGGTATATGGTTATTGTCATGATTGTGTGTTCAGTCAAAGAAGTATATGGTTATTGTCATGATTGTGTGTTCAGTCAAAGAAGTATATGGTTATTGTCATGATTGTGTGTTCAGTCAAAGAGGGATATGGTTATTGTCATGATTGTGTGTTCAGTCAAAGAAGTATATGGTTATTGTCATGATTGTGTGTTCAGTCAAAGAGGGATATGGTTATTGTCATGATTGTGTCTTACAGTCAAAGAGGGATATGGTTATTGTCATGATTGTGTCTTACAGTCAAAGAGGGGTATGGTTATTGTCATGATTGTGTGTTACAGGCAAAGAGGTATGTGGTTATTGTCATGATTGTGTGTTACAGGCAAAGAGGTATGTGGTTATTGTCATGATTGTGTGTTACAGGCAAAGAGGTATATGGTTATTGTCATGATTGTGTGTTACAGGCAAAGAGGTATGTGGTTATTGTCATGATTGTGTGTTCAGTTAAAGAAGTATATGGTTATTGTCATGATTGTGTGTTACAGTCAAAGAGGTATATGGTTATTGTCATGATTGTGTGTTCAGTCAAAGAAGTATATGGTTATTGTCATGATTGTGTGTTCAGTCAAAGAAGTATATGGTTATTGTCATGATTGTGTGTTCAGTCAAAGAGGGATATGGTTATTGTCATGATTGTGTGTTCAGTCAAAGAAGTATATGGTTATTGTCATGATTGTGTGTTCAGTCAAAGAGGGATATGGTTATTGTCATGATTGTGTCTTACAGTCAAAGAGGGATATGGTTATTGTCATGATTGTGTCTTACAGTCAAAGAGGGGTATGGTTATTGTCATGATTGTGTCTTACAGTCAAAGAGGGATATGGTTATTGTCATGATTGTGTCTTACAGTCAAAGTGGTATATGGTTATTGTCATGATTGTGTGTTACAGTGTGGGTGGTATATGGTTATTGTCATGATTGTGTGTTACAGTGTGGGTGGTATATGGTTATTGTCATGATTGTGTGTTACAGTTTAAGAGGGATATGGTATTGTCATGATTGTGTGTTACATTCAGGGTGGTATATGGTTATTGTCATGATTGTGTGTTACAGTGTGGGTGGTATATGGTTATTGTCATGATTGTGTGTTACAGTGTGGGTGGTATATGGTTATTGTCATGATTGTGTGTTACAGTCTAAGACTAAGAGGGATATGGTTATTGTCATGATTGTGTGTTACAGTCAGGGGGGTATATGGTATTGTCATGATTGTGTGTTACAGTCAAGGTGGTATATGGTTATTGTCATGATTGTGTCTTACAGTCAGGATGGTATATGGTATTGTCATGATTGTGTGTTACAGGGAAGGTGGTATATATATGGTATTGTCATAATTGTGTGTTACACTCAAAGAGGTATATGGTTATTGTCATGATTGTGTGTTACAGTCACTACAAGAACAAGCTCAGGAATCCAAGAAGGAAGGGAATGTTTTCTTCAAGAATGGCCAATACAACGCCGCCATCTCCTGCTACACAGAGGCCATCAACCTGTGCCCACGGGAACACTCTGGAGATATCGCCACATTCCATCAGAACAGAGCAGCAGCCTTTGAACAACTGGTAGGTTCTGTAATATGATGGAGGTACTTCAGCAACCCATGCTTGTTGTAAAAGGCGACTATGCTTGTCGTAAGAAGCGACTAATCGGTGGTCAGGCTCGCTGACTTGTTTGATGCATGTCATCGTATCCCAAATGTGTGGATCGATGCTCATGATGTCAATCACTGGATTGTCTGGTCCAGACTCAATTATTTACAGACCCTTGTCATATAGCTGGAATATTGCTGAGTGCAGCGTTAAACAAAAAACAAACAAACTATAATGTAGAGAAGGAAATAATGCACTGACAACAAGAACGCTAATGTTGAGTTCAAGTAAACATTCTGTTGAATCAGAGTATTCTTTAATAGCTGGCACTCTTTGTACTGTTTTCATTGATCCACAGGGGGAGATGTCTTGAGAGCGACCTTTGCTTTACTTGAGTCTAAATTCTAGGGGAAAAAGATCGCTCTAGAGAGACTAGAAACGGTTTTGACCAATGTTTTCTTAGAAGGGAACAATCAGGAGATAGGTGGAGTGTCTCAAAAATAATCAGGCACACTTTGCCAAATTGGCTATATTTGAAGTCATGTACAAAGTTTAGTCTGAATGGAAAGTACACAGGCAGTCTCATCAGCAAACTCTACAAGAGTTAGTTGGCCTATCTGAAGTTGGTCTATCGGGAGATGGAATCTAGCCTCTCGGTTTCTCCTCTACTTTGGATGGGGGCACGGATGACCCAGTTGTCTAAGGCACCGCGATTCGCTGTGCAGAGTAGCGTCCCCTGGACACGCCAGAAAGCTATGATTGTGGGTTCGAATCCTGGTTCACCCCGATTATGTTTCTAGGTTTGTCAGCACCATACCCGTGCTCGTGGGTATCACCAAAGTGGTAAACGTCTCAGACCTGCATCACTCCGGGCTTTCCTCCCACTTTAAGCTGACACGCTGTGATATAACTGGAATAATGTTAAAAGCGGCGTTAAACCCAACTCACTCACTCACTCACTCCTCTACTTTGGATCCTGCTTGCCACCTGCCTCATAACTCATTCAGACCCCGGCCTGCCTTAGAAATGGTTTTCTTCCAACGTCTCTCGCAGCTTTTTATAGTTTTGTAGTTTGTAGTATTGTCCTTGACAATGTTTATCATGTTGATAGGACAATAATTAGTGTCAGGTTAAGTATACGAACTTTCAAACCAAATTCACATTCACCAGAAATAAAGAAAGGCATGTTATTAGTGTGTCAGATATAACATATAATTTACTCTACCCCTGAACATTTGGTTAAAATATCTAATCATAAATGGTTGTGTTGAGCTGTCATCGATAATCGGACGAGACAGATCTTGATCAAGCACTGCAAAGTCTTCCTTGCATGTTTGGTCTTGTTACCATGGTTATATCTGAACACCAAACCTTCAGAGCAAAATATTTTGCCTCCACGATGGAAAGGAATAATACTGCAAATCTACATGTGCATTAACCATCATGCAAGTGATGATGAAGATCAACATCCTTACTCGCCAATAAATGTCACATCAATCTATCGCTTGGTCACCATGGTCACTCTGTTCCTGTCACTTGAATTTTGGTCACGAGACACCCCCTCCTGTTATCCGAACATGGAATCCCTCAATGGATACCACAGTTCCTTCTTGTGGAGCCTGTGTAGTTCTAAAGTCGAGAGGTCATTCTAGTGAGACACAGGGCGTTCAGGTAGCCTAGTGGTTAAAGCATTCGCTCGTCACGTCGAAGACCCGGGTGCGGATCCCGACATGGGTACAATGTGTGAAGCCCATTTCTGACGTCCCCCGTCGTGATATTGCTGGAATATTGCTAAAAGAGGCGTAAAACCTCACTCACTCACTCACTCACTCTCGTGAGACACCCCCATCCCCCCTGGTTCAAGTTTGGATGATTGTTAGGAAAGAACTCAAGTCAGTATCACAAGTTATGCTCAGGCATGGACGCATTGAAAAAGCCTTTGGTTTGGCTGTTCAGCTTTGAAAAAAATGCGTTGAAAATGTCTCGGAAATGTCAACTGATGTTATGTTTTTCACTTTTATCAAACATAATTGCTGCTGTGCACTTGTGAGAAATGTTTCCTGCACTGGTTGCATCCTGGCAATAAAGGTTACCTGCACTTGCAATGTTTTACCTGAACTGGCACAGCTTGGATATAGTGAAATAGATCCCTGGACTGACTGGCATATGTCTGGACTACTCTAGAACCCAGTTAACTGGCCCGTGAAGATCCAGGGTAGAATAGGTCTTCAGCAACCCATGATGGCCGTAAAAGGCAACTATGCTTGTCGTAAGAGACAACTAACAGGATCGGGTGGTCGGGCTCGCTGACTTGGTTGATGCATGTCATCAAATCCCAATTGCGTGGATCGATGCTCATGATATCAATCACTGGATTGTCTGGTCCAGACTCAATTATTTATAGACTGCCGTCATATAGCTGGAATATTGCTGAGGGCGGCGTAAAACAACAAACAAACAAATTTGGTATTGTAATGCCTGTAAATGGCATTTAGAAGTTGGTAAGATGAACAAGGGATGTAGTTCTGTAGACATACGGCTCCTTTATTGTGATGAATGCGACAGTTTGGTGTAGATACTAGCACCGTTATAAGCAAGGGATTGACAGCTTTCTTAATAACAGTGTTAGTATCTACACCCATGAAATAAGACCCATGAAGATTCCGGGGTAGAATAGGTCTTCAGCAACCCATGCTTGCCGTAAAAGGTGACTACGCTTGTCATAAAAGGCGACTAACGGGATCGGGTGGTCAGGCTCGCTGACTTGGTTGATGCATATCATCGATCCAAAGTGCGTGGATCGATGCTCATGATATTAATCACTGGATTGTCTGGTCCAGACTCGATCATTTACAGACCGCCGTCATATAGCTGGAATATTGCTGAGTGCGGCGTTAAAAAAAAACCAACCAACGGAAATAAGGAACAAGGAAATCTCAATGAAATAGGAGTGTTGTATCCATAGAGCTATCTCCCTTGTTTACTCAGTGTTGTATAAACTACTTGACGAGGTGTAGCAGGTCAGCCAACTTTCCTGATCAGCCTAGTGACACTGAGTGACAATGTGCAATTAAGGAAAGAAGATGGCAAAGATTATTTATTATATTTATAACTGTACACAAAGGAATCTTAATCTCTGTGTGTAAAAGACAATGCCTGGCAGAACAGAAAATACAATTTAAACAGTAAATCAACTTGTCTGGTGATTTTTTATCTCCAATTTCAAATTTGTACTGACCAATTTTTTTATCACAGGTTCGTTTACCTGAATTCACTGAATGGGTGCGGGGGCACGGGTGGCCCAGTCGTCTAAGGCGCCGCGATTCGCTGTGCAGAGTTGCGTCCCTTTGGCACGCCAGAAACCTATGATTGTGGGTTCGAATCCCGGTTCGCCCTGATTATGTTTCTAGGTTTGTCAGCACCCTTATCGAAGTGGTAAACGTCTGAGACCTGCATCACTTCAGGCTTTCCTCCCATATTAAGCTGACACTCCGTGATATAACTGTAATACTGTTAAAAGCGTTAAACCCAACTCACTCACTCACTCACTGAAGGGGTACGGTGTAATTTTTTTCTGCGCAAAATATTGATTTATTTTTTTCAAAATACTGAATCCCCTAGAGGGGGGGTGTGCATTATACTTGATTGTGCACTATGCTCAAGAAAATATGGTATTCGCACTGGCTTGTTCACAATTTTGGAAGTAATTAAAGGACATAGGCCTCCTCAGGTGTTTTGTGTGTTGGTCTGCAAAAATATATGTCACCGTCATGAAACTACAGAGAGTGTCACAGGCAGTTTCACAGGACTTTCTTGCTTGCAAAACTTTCCAGATTTACAGTATATTTTTCTGTGATTTTGAAAATGTGTATTGACTTCGCAAAGGATTATTCCACAACTGGATTGTCAAGCTCTGGTTTGAGCTTGAACATTTTCATCTTGTATATGGATATACGAGTACAATCGGTGCCATTCTGACAGTGAAATAAAGTAGGAATGTCCTCCTGAATCTCACATTTATCATTTATAAGTGTGATCCTTAATCGTGTTAATCATGTTAATTGTATTGAAAAGGCCTTAGATTTGGAGACAGCCTCCGTGGTCTAGTGTCCGCCCGGGGAGCGGAAGGTCCGGGGTTCGATCCCCGGCCGCGTCATACCAAAAGACGTTCAAAGATGGTACTTGTTGTTACCCTGTCTGGCGCTCGGCATTAAGGGGCTAAAACAGGGACTGGTCGGCTCGGAGTCAGTATACTGTGTCTGAGTGGGGTATTCATGTTTAACTGTGGCATGGTATCTCAGTGGGCTAGCATTATAAATCGGCATCAGTCCGGACTAGTACAAGCAGTCTCACAAACGCACACACGTACATGCACGTGGCTATTTAAGTGCAAAAATCTTGGACGCGATGTTAAACCCCATTTCACCTCACCTTAGATTTGGTGGCTTTAGTTTGTATGAACCATGCATCACTTTCTCTGTGTTGAGGCAGTATAGACAGGTACCAATGCCTTGTAGTTGAGGCTGGACATGGAGAAGAAATATTTTGAGTTCCATATGTTATCAGCATGATCAGTGGGGCATACAGGATTTACCCACTACTAACCATGTTAATGATATTTTTATGATACAGTTATATTTCTACTTGTTCACATCAACATGCTAATGAGACCTTAATATTTATATGTTACAGTTATAATCTATCTTGTTCACATCAACATGCTAATGAGACCTTAACATTTTTATGTTACAGTTATAAATCTATCTTGTTCACATCAACATGCTATCGAGACTAATATTTATATGTTACAGTTATAAATTCATCTTGTTCACATCAACATGCTAGCGTTCTTGTTACAGCGATATTCATGTCTAATCAACAAGAGGCGAGACATAGCACATTTTCATGCATTATTCAGCACTCTAGATACTTGGGGATGCTTGCATCGATCAGTAAATAAGTAACAGAACACAGGTATGCACGTTGAAAAGGATCCATTGGGTAAGTATGCAGTGTGTTATGCTATTGTTGTTTTCTTGGGGTTTTTTCAAGCGTATTTTTCAAGCCTATTTTAACACAAGCAATTCAACTTAAATTAGGTAATGGTGATTTATATTGCATATTTTACGCAAATATGCAGCTTATCTGGAGCTCTGTACAGTTGAAGTTTTTATTTGTCAGGGGGAGAATAAAAGTGTTCTTGAAGACCTGAACATGGCAATAACCCTCAACAAACGCTACCCCAAGGCACTCGCTCGCCGGGCCAGGGCTCACGAGGTAGCACAAGACTATGCAATGGCATTAGAAGGTGAGTCACATGACCAGTCTCACAACACCTATGTCTCGCCTATCTAACATTTGTACTGTCTCACTCACCTCACATGTGCACCATCTCACATGCACTGTCTCACCCATCTCAAATGTGCAGTCTCACCCATCTCACATGTGCAGTCTCACCCATCTCACATGTGCACTGACTTGCCCATCTGACATGTGCTCTGTCTTGCATGTGCACTGTCTCACCCATCTCACATGTGCTCTGTCTTGCATGTGCACTGTCTCACCCATCTCACATGTGCACTGTCTCACCCATCTCACATTTACAATGTCTCACCCATCTCACCCATCTCACTTGTGCACTGTCTCACCCATCTCACATGTGCAGTGTCTCACCCATCTCACTTGTGCACTGTCTCACCCATCTCACCCATCTCACATGTGCTCTGTCTCACCCATCTCACTTGTGCACTGTCTCACCCATCTCACCCATCTCACATGTGCACTGTCTCACCCATCTCACATGTGCAGTGTCTTACCCATCTCACATTTACAATGTCTCCCCCCATCTCACATGTGCAGTGTCTTACCCATCTCACATTTACAATGTCTCCCCCCATCTCAAATGTGCTCTGTCTTACCCATCTCACATGTGCACTGTCTTACCCATCTCACCCATCTCACATGTGCACTGTCTCACCCATCTCACCCATCTCACATGTGCACTGTCTCACCCATCTCACATGTGCAGTGTCTTACCCATCTCACATTTACGATGTCTCCCCCCATCTCAAATGTGCTCTGTCTTACCCATCTCACATGTGCACTGTCTTACCCATCTCACCCATCTCACATGTGCACTGTCTCACCCATCTCACCCATCTCACATGTGCACTGTCTCACCCATCTCAAATGTGCTCTGTCTTACCCATCTCACGTGTGCACTGTCTCACCCATCTCACCCATCTCACATGTGCACTGTCTCACCCATCTCACCCATCTCACATGTGCACTGTCTCACCCATCTCACATGTGCAGTGTCTTACCCATCTCACATTTACGATGTCTCACCCATCTCACATGTGCTCTGTCTTACCCATCTCAAATGTGCTCTGTCTTACCCATCTCACATGTGCTCTGTCTCACCCATCTCACCCATCTCACATGTGCACTGTCTCACCCATCTCAAATGTGCTCTGTCTCACCCATCTCACATGTGCACTGTCTCACCCATCTCACATGTGCAGTGTCTTACCCATCTCACATTTACGATGTCTCACCCATCTCACATGTGCTCTGTCTCACCCATCTCACATGTGCACTGTCTCACCCATCTCACTTGTGCACTGTCTCACCCATCTCACATGTGCACTGTCTCACCCATCTCACATGTGCACTGTCTCACCCATCTCACATGTGCAGTGTCTTACCCATCTCACATTTACGATGTCTCACCCATCTCACATGTGCACTGTCTCACCCATCTCACATGTGCACTGTCTCACCCATCTCACTTGTGCACTGTCTCACCCATCTCACCCATCTCACATGTGCACTGTCTCACCCATCTCACATGTGCTCTGTCTTACCCATCTCAAATGTGCTCTGTCTTACCCATCTCACTTGTGCACTGTCTCACCCATCTCACATGTGCACTGTCTCACCCATCTCACATGTGCAGTGTCTTACCCATCTCACATTTACAATGTCTCCCCCCATCTCAAATGTGCTCTGTCTCACCCATCTCACCCATCTCACATGTGCACTGTCTCACCCATCTCACATGTGCACTGTCTCACCCATCTCACATGTGCAGTGTCTTACCCATCTCACATTTACGATGTCTCACCCATCTCACATGTGCACTGTCTCACCCATCTCACATGTGCACTGTCTCACCCATCTCACTTGTGCACTGTCTCACCCATCTCACCCATCTCACATGTGCACTGTCTTACCCATCTCACTTGTGCACTGTCTCACCCATCTCACCCATCTCACATGTGCACTGTCTCACCCATCTCACATGTGCAGTGTCTTACCCATCTCACATTTACAATGTCTCCCCCCATCTCAAATGTGCTCTGTCTCACCCATCTCACCCATCTCACATGTGCACTGTCTCACCCATCTCACATGTGCAGTGTCTTACCCATCTCACATTTACGATGTCTCACCCATCTCACATGTGCTCTGTCTTACCCATCTCAAATGTGCTCTGTCTTACCCATCTCACCCATCTCACATGTGCACTGTCTTACCCATCTCACATTTACGATGTCTCACCCATCTCACATGTGCTCTGTCTTACCCATCTCAAATGTGCTCTGTCTTACCCATCTCACCCATCTCACATGTGCACTGTCTTACCCATCTCAAATGTGCTCTGTCTTACCCATCTCACATGTGCTCTGTCTCACCCATCTCACCCATCTCACATGTGCACTGTCTCACCCATCTCACATGTGCAGTGTCTTACCCATCTCACATTTACGATGTCTCACCCATCTCACATGTGCTCTGTCTTGCATGTGCACTGTCTCACCCATCTCACATGTGCTCTGTCTTGCATGTGCACTGTCTCACCCATCTCATATGTGCACTGTCTCACCCATCTCAAATTTACAATGTCTCACCCATCTCAAATTTACAATGTCTCACCCATCTCAAATGTGCTCTGTCTTACCCATCTCACATGTGCACTGTCTCACCCATCTCACCCATCTCACATGTGCACTGTCTCACCCATCTCAAATTTACAATGTCTCACCCATCTCAAATTTACAATGTCTCACCCATCTCAAATGTGCTCTGTCTTACCCATCTCACATGTGCACTATCTCACCCATCTCACCCATCTCACATGTGCAGTGTCTCACCCATCTCACATGTGCAGTGTCTCACCCATCTCACATGTGCAGTGTCTTACCCATCTCACATTTACAATGTCTCCCCCCATCTCAAATGTGCTCTGTCTTACCCATCTCACATGTGCACTGTCTCACCCATCTCACCCATCTCACATGTGCACTGTCTCACCCATCTCACATGTGCAGTGTCTCACCCATCTCACATGTGCAGTGTCTTACCCATCTCACATTTACAATGTCTGCCCCCATCTCAAATGTGCTCTGTCTTACCCATCTCACATGTGCACTGTCTCACCCATCTCACCCATCTCACATGTGCACTGTCTCACCCATCTCACATGTGCAGTGTCTTACCCATCTCACATTTACGATGTCTCACCCATCTCACATGTGCTCTGTCTTACCCATCTCACATGTGCTCTGTCTTACCCATCTCACCCATCTCAAATGTGCTCTGTCTTACCCATCTCACCCATCTCACATGTGCAGTGTCTCACCCATCTCAAATTTACAATGTCTCACCCATCTCACATGTGCAGTGTCTTACCCATCTCACATTTACAATGTCTCACCCATCTCACATGTGCACTGTCTCACCCATCTCACATGTGCTCTGTCTTACCCATCTCAAATGTGCACTGTCTCACCCATCTCACCCATCTCACATTTACGATGTCTCACCCATCTCACATGTGCAGTGTCTCACCCATCTCACCCATCTCACATTTACAATGTCTCACCCATCTCACATGTGCACTGTCTCACCCATCTCACCCATCTCACATTTACGATGTCTCACCCATCTCACATGTGCAGTGTCTTACCCATCTCACATGTGCACTGTCTCACCCATCTCACATGTGCACTGTCTCACCCATCTCACATGTGCTCTGTCTTACCCATCTCAAATGTGCTCTGTCTTACCCATCTCACATGTGCACTGTCTCACCCATCTCACATGTGCACTGTCTCACCCATCTCACATGTACACTCTCACCCATCTCACATATATACAATGTCTCAACTATCTCCACATACAGTGTCTCACCCATCTCACATTACAATGTTTCACCCATCTCATATGTACACTGTCTCACCAATCTCACATGTGCAATGTCTCACCCATCTCACATGTACACTGTCTCACCTGTCTCATGTTTGTCCCTGCAGACATCACAGCTTGCTGCTTGTTGGAGGGCTTTCAGAACCAGCAGAGTCTGATCGTGGCGGACCGCGTCCTCAAACTGCTCGGCAAGAGCAAGGCTCATGCAGCATACTCAGTAAGTGTCACATTGTTTTTTGTCAGCATCAATCATTGATTTCCACACACAGTGTGTGGTGGAGTCATCAGTGCAATGTTATAATCCCCTCCAAGAAGTGAGTGAGTGAGTGAGTTTGGTTTTACGCCGCTTTTAGCAATATTCCAGCAATATCACGGCGGGGGACACCAGAAATGGGCTTCACACATTGTACCCATGTCGGGATTCGAACCCGGGTCTTCGGCGTGACGAGCGAACGCTTTAACCACTAGGCTACCCGACCGCCCCCTCCAAGAAGTGAGACAGGGAGATAAAGCTGTATGAGGGAGCTTACTAATTGATGCCCATACCCTGTCAGCAGAATCAAAGAAATACTTTTGGAAACATTGCTCTGAAATACACAGAGTTTGAGAATTATATTTTTGGGGGAGAAGATCTTTTTGGAGTTATATCCCTTGTTTGTTTCTCCATTCTGAAGTTTATTTGTCAACTTCTTCTTGAAAAAATACATTTTTTGAACCTTTAATTTTTTACCTCCCCTGCATTACTCCTTAATGCATCATTAAACGTAGTAATGCAGGATAAGTATACATATGTAAAAAATGTTTAGATTTTACTAATTTTGAACGAGTCAAGACTATGATTATTTTAACCTTGGACTATAGTAATATTTGTTACATTAACTACCTGTGACACCTTTTCAGAATGTTCTAAGATAGAGACCTTTGTACCCATGTGTAATTACTCGTTCCAAGAGAGCACCGTTTTCAAAGCACTCTTGCTAAAGCACTCTTGCTAAAGCACTCGGTTCCAAATTTAGATAAGAGATATCTTCTCTACTGTGGGACTTCAAAACAAGTTTCAAAACACTAGGTTCATCTCCTAAGTACCCAATGCTTGTTGTAAGAATTGACTAAACAGGATTCTTTGGTTGAAATGTGTGACCTGGCTGATCGTGTATCACAGTAGCCCAAGAGTGGATCGTTCATGCTGTCAACCACTTGCCAGACTCATTATTTACAGGGGGGCATGGGTGGCCCAGTCGTTTAAGGCGCTGCAATTCGCTGTGCAGAGTTGCGTCCCTTGGACACGCCAGAAACCTATGATTGTGGGTTCGAATCCCGGTTCGCCCCAATTATGTTTCTAGGTTTGTCATCACCATACCCGTGCTCGTGGGTATCACCAAAGTGGTAAACGTCTGTGACCTGTATCACTTCGGGCTTTTCTCCCACATTAAGCTGACACGCCGTGATATAACTGGAATACTGTTAAAAGCGGCGTTAAACCCAACTCACTCACTCATAATTTACAGCCTGCTGTTGTATGGGAGAAAGATTGAAGACTGTGCCATAAACCAACATCCACTCACTTTGTTCCTCAGAGTCGCACGCCGTCACTGCCATCCCAGTTCTTCATCAAGAATTACTTTGCTGGCTTCTGTCATGACCCCATCTTCAAAACATCCAGTGCTGGGAAGGCTGAACCCCTCAAGAAGCCAGATGAAGGGGAGATAACTGAGGAACCTGTAGTGAATGGAGAAACAGAGGGCGCCACACAAGAAGCCAGGTGAGAAAACTCCAACCAGTGGTCAGGTCACCCCGATCATGTTTCTAGGTTTGTCAGCTTCATACCAGTGGTCAGGTTCACCCCGATTATGTTTCTAGGTTTGTCAGCTTCATACCCGTGCTCGTGGGTTTCACCGAAGTGGTAAACGTCTGAGACCTGCATCACTTCGGGCTTTCCTCCCACATTGACCTGATACACCGTGATATAACTGGAATAATGTTAAAAGCGGTGTTAATCCCAATTCACTCACTCACTCACTCACTCACTCACTCACTCACTCACTCACTCACTCACTCACTCACTCACTCACTCACTCACTCACTCACTCACTCACTCAACCAGTGGTCAGATATTACAATACCTGTGTTCCCTGTACTATCATCATATGTACTCATTCCAGCTTACCGCATTCGACGTAATAAGCGCCCTGCTCGAATAAGCGCCCACGGTGATATATGCAAATGTATTGGCGAGTGAACAATCTCAATTAGTATACACTTAGCAGCTAAGGCCATCAGTTCAGAATGAAATTTCTGGGCATCAAGTTCTCCAAAATAAGACACCCAAATGTGCCCTTACTCATGTTAAGAAGACAGCAATACATTTAAGTCAGGGGGCGGTCGGGTAGCCTAGTGGTTAAAGCGTTCGCTCGTCACGCTGAAGACCTTGGTTTGATTCCAGTCATGGGTACAATGTGTGAAGCCCATTTCTGGTGTCCCCCGCTGTGATATTGCTGGAATATTGCTTAAAGCGGCGTAAAACCATACTCACTCACTCACTCATTCAAGTCAGGCTGGCTTTGTGAGTTGTGTTGACAGTCACATGGTTACCTCCTGTCAGTACCCCTTGACCACCACAAATCAGGGGGTGATTTTTTCAAAAACATCTCCATTGTACCAAGTGCAGGTGGCAGTTAGCAAGTAACTGCACAACAGTGGAACAAGCTGCCCCACATTCTATTCCCATTAGTCGCCTGTTACGACAAGCATAGTCGCCTTTTGCTTCCCGTAAAAGATTGTTTTGGGCTGCCAAGCATTAACATTGAGATCCATGTGTCTCCCTGGCTCCAACCAAAAACAATTTAGTCACCTTATTTAACCTATATGTCAGGAAGTCATAATTTCTGTTCTGAAAGACTTGAATGTAAAAGTTAGATTCAACAGTAAGTCTATATCTTCCTCAGCCCCTTCACCAACAGTTAACCAATATCTTCCTCAGCCCCTTTACCAACAGTTAACCCATATCTTCCTCAGCCCCTTTACCAACAGTTAACCCACATCTTCCACAGCCCCTTTACCAACAGTTAACCCATATCTTCCTCAGCCTCTTTACCAACAGTTAACCCATATCTTCCTCAGCCCCTTTACCAACAGTTAACCCATATCTTCCTCAGCCCCTTTACCAACAGTTAACCCATATCTTCCTCAGCCCCTTTACAAACAGTTAACCCATATCTTCCTCAGCCCCTTCACCAACAGTTAACCCATATCTTCCTCAGCCTCTTTACCAACAGTTAACCCATATCTTCCTCAGCCCCTTTACCAACAGTTAACCCATATCTTCCTCAGCCTCTTTACCAACAGTTAACCCATATCTTCCTCAGCCCCTTCACCAACAGTTAACCCATATTTTCCTCAGCCTCTTTACCAACAGTTAACCCATATCTTCCTCAGCCTCTTTACCAACAGTTAACCCATATCTTCCTCAGCCCCTTTACCAACAGTTAACCCATATCTTCCACAGCCTCTTTACCAACAGTTAACCCATATCTTCCTCAGCCCCTTTACCAACAGTTAACCCATATCTTCCTCAGCCCCTTTACCAACAGTTAACCCATATCTTCCACAGCCTCTTTACCAACAGTTAACCCATATCTTCCTCAGCCCCTTTACCAACAGTTAACCCATATCTTCCACAGCCTATTTACCAACAGTTAACCCATATCTTCCTCAGCCCCTTCACCAACAGTTAACCCATATCTTCCTCAGCCTCTTTACCAACAGTTAACCCATATCTTCCTCAGCCTCTTTACCAACAGTTAACCCATATCTTCCTCAGCCTCTTTACCAACAGTTAACCCATATCTTCCACAGCCCCTTTGAGCTGGCTCAGCAACAGGTCAACCAGCAGCAGTACGGGCAGCTCATTGAGCTGTGCAGCAAGGAGCTGGAGCTGAAGGACACCCCACACCGCCACAAGGCCCTGCTGATGCGAGGCACCATGTATGTTCTCTACGGCCAGGGCGAGGAGGCCATGAAGGACCTGTCCACTCTGTTGGAAATAGACGGCATGGAAACCGAGGTTAGTATAGTCATATTCTAGTTCTGTAATAGTGGAGACAGCAGTTAGTATAGTCATATTCTAGTTTCGTAGTAGTGGAGACCGAGGTTAGTATAGTCATACGGCCAGGGCGAGGAGGCCATGAAGGACCTGTCCACTCTGTTGGAAATAGACGGCGTGGAGACGGAGGTTAGTATAGTCATATTCTAGTTCTGTAGTAGTGGAGACCAAGGTTAGTATAGTCATACGGCCAGGGCGAGGAGGCCATGAAGGACCTGTCCACTCTGTTGGAAATAGATGGCTAGGAGACGGAGGTTAGTATAGTCATGTTCTAGTTCTGTAGTAGTGGAGACCAAGGTTAGTATAGTCATATTCTAGTTCTGTAGTAGTGGAGACGGAGGTTAGTATAGTCATACGGCCAGGGCGAGGAGGCCATGAAGGACTTGTCCACTCTGTTGGAAATAGACGGCGTGGAGACAGAGGTTAGTATAGTCATGCTCTAGTTCTGTAGTAGTGGAGACCGAGGTTAGTATAGTCATACGGCCAGGGCGAGGAGGCCATGAAGGACCTGTCCACTCTGTTGGAAATAGACGGCGTGGAAACCGAGGTTAGTATAGTCATGCTCTAGTTCTGTAGTAGTGGAGACAGAGGTTAGTATAGTCATACGGCCAGGGCGAGGAGGCCATGAAGGACCTGTCCACTCTGTTGGAAATAGACGGCGTGGAGACAGAGGTTAGTATAGTCATGCTTTTTCACAGCATGTACCATTTTTGAAGGCAAAATTATGCCTATACTCATGTATGGTTCTGAAATATGGGGTGCTAAGTACTACGCTGCAATTGAAAAAGTTCACACTTCATATATCAAATGTGTTCTCAGTGTTGGTAAGTTTGCCTCAAACAAGGCAATCCTTGGTGAAACAGGCCGTAGTAATATTTTTGTAGCCATCCAATAAGGGTAATTAAGTAGGATTACATTACTTAGAATGATGCCTGATAGATACCCATATCAGTGTTAAAAAATGTTAAAGGTACTTGATGATAATGGTAAAAATAATTGGGTTTCAGATGTGAGAAATCTATTAATAATGTATTATTTGTTAGTGGCTTTTCATGTGTATGGATTTCCCAAGATGTGGGAGACCCATAGTTATTTTTATATTCATTTAGCAAAGACTGAAGGATATATTTTGTCAACAGTGACAGCAAAGTATTTCAGAATCACTTTATCTTAGCAATTACAGCAAAGTAAAATCAATGTTACAAACTGAAAGATATTTAACTTGTTTAAATGGTAAAAGTTTAATAAGAGCTTATTGTAAACTTAGAATTTCATTACACAATTTTAATGTAAATATATGTCGCAGGTCCAAAGACGTTGATATTGCGAGCTCTATTTGTACAAACTGTTCATCCGGAGAAGTAGAGGATGAATACCATGTCTTACTTACATGTGAAACGTATTCCCATTTAAGGTATAAATTTCTCCCCATGTTGCAAGGTATTTTTAAAGACTGTCATTTAATGATAAATCTGCTAAACTCTGAAGGGGGCACAGGTGGCCCAGTCGTCTAAGGCGCCGCGATTCGCTGTGCAGAGTTGCGTCCCTTGGGCACGCCAGAAACCTATGTTTGTGGGTTCGAATCCCGGTTCGCCCCGATTATGTTTCTAGGTTTGTCATCACCATACCCGTGCTTGTGGTTTTCACCGAAGTGGTAAACGTATGAGACCTGCATCACTTCCGGCTTTCCTCCCACATTAAGCTGACACGCCGTGATATAACTGGAATACTGTTAAAAGCGGCGTTAAACCCAACTCACTCACTCACTAAACTCTGAAAATGCTGATATGGTCCATGCTGTTTCTGTATTTTTGAAACATGTCTTTATGATGAGGAATGTGTAACTTGATTTAAGATCTAATCATGTACATCATGTTAATATCCAATCTGCATTGTACTATGGGCTTTGAGGCCTAAATTACTGAATTAACTGTCTGTCTGACATAGATAGGTCTAGTGGTGAACTGGTGCCTTTTGATAGTTTGGGATTTTTACAAGAAACACTTTTCAAGGTGCCACAAGGTGCCACAAGGTGCCACGACTTTGACTTAGACTGAAAATGTCAGTAGTGTTCCTTTCCGGAGCAGATCTTGAACACTGTACAATATTTCTTCACCAAACTTTGCACATAGATAGGCCTAGTGGTAAACTGGTGCCTTTTGATAGATTGGGATTTTTGTTGCAATTATTTTCAAGTTTCCATGGCAACGACTATGACTTAGACTGAAAATGGCGGTAGTGCTCTTTTCCGGAGCAGATCTTGATAACCGTATAATATTTCTTGCCTTCCACACAACCAGACATGTCATAGTGGCGGGGGATTTGAGTATTTGATGCTTGTTGTTATTAAAAACACAGCCTGTTATCTAGTCTAGTTGTGCCCCACAATAAGGATGAAGTATGAGATATCTGTGAGACCAGTACATGACATGACAGGAGGTTTGTGCATGTTGTGCAGGTCCGCGTGAATGCCCTGGTGAAGATGGGGAGTCTGGTGATGCAGGCAGACAAGTCCCAGGAGGCTCTGGCTTGTTTCTCCAATGCTGAGAAGGTGGACCCCAACAACTCGGACGTGTTTCACCATCGTGGACAGGTCAGGCCATGTTTTGTCATTTAATGTACTATAGATATCAGAGTCCCATAGCAACCTTTTTATACCCCCGTTAAAATGTCGGGGGTATATAGTTATACCAAGGTGCCGTCCGTCCGAAAACTTTGTCCGCGCGATTTCTCTTAAACTATTCAGTGGATTCACCCAAACTTAGTACATATAATCTGTGTCATATGGAGGGGTGCAGTCAAAAGAAAAAAATTGTTTTTATTAATTTTCCAATTTTTTTAATGAATTTTTCAAACCCTTACCCTATCCTAGCTATTTAATTTGTAACTACTGACACACTAGGCGGGTAGGGATTATTAGTGAGCCACACTCACTTTTGCACTTGTTTTCCCATGAATTTAGACTCAAGCAAAGCAAAGGTCGCTCTCAAGACATCTCCCCTTGTGGATCAATGAAAACAGTACAAAGAGTGCCAGCTATTAAAGAATACTCTGAACAGTCAGCAGTAGAAACTAACATGTTTAGTCCACTAGTCCTTATAATGGGGGGTGAGGTGAAATTGGGTTTATCGTCGCGTCCAAGATTATTGCACTTATATAGCGAAGTTTATGCACGTGTGTGTGTGTGTGTGTGTGTGTGTGTGTGTGTGTGTGTGTGTGTGTGTGTGTGTGTGTGTGTGTGTGTGTGTGTGTGTGTGTGTGTGTGTGTGTGTGTGTGTGTGTGTGTGTCTGTGTGTGTGTGTGTGTGTGTGTGTGTCTGTGTCTGTGTCTGCTTGTGTGTACTAGTCCGGACTGATGCCGATTTATAGTGCTAGCCCACTGAGATACCATGCCGCAGTTTAACATGAGAACCCCACTCAGACACAGAATACTGACTCCTAGTCGACCAGTCCTTGTTTTAGCCCCGTAATGCTGAGCGCCAGACAGGGTAACAACAAGTACCATGTTTTAACGTCTTTCTGTATCAAACCCCGGACCCTCCACTCTCCGGGTGAACGCTCTACCGCTAGACCACGGAGGCGGTCAGTCCTTATAATGATTACATATAGCAAAAAATTTAAAATGGGCAAAGTTTTACTAGTCCTCAGGATACCTTAACTATTGGGCAGTTTGGCAAGGACTACAGGACCAGTGCCAATTTCTAAGGCTAAGAACCTGGGTTTTTTCAGGGGTAGATTAAGCTTTGAGTAAACCAGTGTCTGATCTTACAGGAAGGAACACCCATAGGGACTCCCAGGCAAATTACAGTACACAATGTTTGTTGAAAGATCAAACTTAAAACAGATGAAGTAGTTACAATATTTGACCTGGACAGTCTTGTTTCACACCCTAATGACACTGACCATATATCTCGTGTCAAACTTGGTGTTCAAGCCACAGTCATGATCTTGTGAAATAGCTGAACTACAAATCAGTTCATTCACAGAGCTTGCTGTGCTGGCCATATCTCGTGTTGACTGACATCAGAGTTCACACTGATACACCTCTGTGATGTTACTGTGAAGTTGCTGTGATGATGCTGTGATGTTACTAATATCAGTGTAAACACATTCGCGTAATGTGATGTTGCTCTGATGTTACTGAGACCGTCTCCGTGGTCTAGTGGTAGATTGTTTGCACGGAGAACGGAAGGTTCGGGGTTCCGACCGCGTCATACCAAGAGACGTTTAAAGATGGTACTTGTTGTTACCCTGTCTTGTGCTCAGCATTAAGGGGCTAAAACAAGGAGTTTTTGGCCCTGAGTCAGCATACTATGTCTGAGTGGGCTATTCATGTCAAATTGCAGCATGGTTTCTCAGTGGGCTAGCTCTATATTGGCATCAGTCTGGACTGCTGAGGAGGTTACAACTGAAACAAACTATGTTTTGGTATCTGGATACTTTATTGGTTTTCTTAGATTGGAAGTACTTCAAACACAGTACGTCATCATGGTCGTTCCGTAATTTCAATGTGCACCATTTGAAAATTGAATGTGCCAATGATGCAATGGCTCGGCAGAGAACGAACTCTGTCCCAGGGTACAATGCTAGTCATGTTGCTGCATTTCTGTGATATTACTTTGTTGCTGGTGATGTTACTTTGTTGCTGGTGATGTTACTTTGTTGCTGGTGATGTTACTTTGTTGCTGGTGATGTTACTTTGTTGCTGGTGATGTTACTGTGTTGCTGGTGATGTTACTGTGTTGCTGGTGATGTTACTGTGTTGCTGGTGATGTTACTTTGTTGCTGGTGATGTTACTGTGTTGTTTCTGACACAGAAGTAACACCTAAATATTCAGTATGTTTCATGTGGTATTTTCTTACAGCAACTGCTTTTGGTGGAGAAACTGGATGATGCTATCAAAGACTTTGATAAGAGCATCAGCCTGTCTCCGGACTTTGCCACGTCCTATGTACAGAGAGCCTATGCAGGTATGTGGCAAGATATGCTTTGTCCTACGATACATGGTAGTACTTAGTGTGAAGTTTGGCTTGCCCTGCAGATGCTGGTTTGCCTGACTCTGATAACCTGTCTTGGTAAAGACTGAACATGGTGACTGTATCATAAAACAACATGCGCTCATTTGATGATAACTCAAGACCCAAGCAGATGTTGCAGATTTAGCTGACACATTACTTACCTGGTAACCCGTGAAGATCTAGGAAGAATAGGTCTTCAGCTACCCATGCTTGTCATAAGAGGAGACTAATGGGAGCGGGTGGTCAGGCCCGCTGACTGGTTTGATGCATGTCATCGTATCCCAGTTGTGTGTATCGATGCCGTCAATGTCAATCACTGGATTGTCTGGTTCAGACTCAGTTATTTACAGACAGACAGCCATCATATACCTGGAGTATTGCTGAATGTGTCTTGAACAGCAAACATCACATCACATCACTTACCTGGTGTAAAGGGGGCACGGGTGGCCCAGTCGTCTAAGGAGCTGCGATTCGCTGTGCAGAGTTGCGTCCATTGGGCACGCCAGAGAACCTATGATTGTGGGTTTGAATCCCGGTTCGCTCCGATTATGTTTCTAGGTTTGTCATCACCATACCCGTGCTCCTGGGTTTCATCAAAGTGGTAAACGTCGGAGACCTGCATCACTTCGGGCTTTCCTCCAACATTAAGCTGACACGCCGTGATATAACTGGAATACTGTTAAAAGCAGCGTTAAACCCAACTCACTCACTCACTCATTGACCCGTGAAGATTCCGGGATAGAATAGCTCTTCAGCAACCCATGCTTGTGACTATGCTTGTGGTAAAAGGCGACTAACGGGATCGGGTGCTCGCTTACTTGGTTGAAGCATGATATAAATCACTGGATTGTCTGGTCCAGACTTGATTATTTACAGACCGCTGTCATATAGCTGGAGTATTGCTGAGTACGGCGTTAAACAACAAACCAAACCATACCACTCACTCACTACCTGGTGTAAAGTCAAGTTCTTACATTCATTTGTGACTCTCTTTAATATACAATCTCTTTCGATGTTACACAGAGCACCGATCTGCGGTGACGCAGCAGAGCCCACTGAACCTGATGAAGGCCGATGCCAGCTTCAAGCAGGCCCTGGAGAAGTTCCCCAACTGCTCCGACATCTACTTGCTGTATGGACAGGTATGTCAAAATCAGGGAAAGATGTGGATTGTAGGTTTGTACACCATGCCTGACAATGTAGGCCCTCAGTACACCATGCCTGACAATGTAGGCCCCCAGTACACCTTGCCTGACAATGAAGGCCCACAGTACACCGTGCCTGACAATGTAGGCCCCCAGTACACCTTTCCTGACAATGAAGGCCCACAGTACACCATGCCTGACAATGAAGGCCCCCAGTACACCTTGCCTGACAATGAAGGCCCACAGTACACCTTGCCTGACAATGTAGGACCCGAGTACACCTTGCCTGACAATGAAGGCCCCCAGTACACCTTGCCCGACAATGTAGACCCCCAGTACACCATGCCTGACAATGAAGGCCCCCAGTACACCTTGCCTGACAATGAAGGTCCCCAGTACGCCTTGCCTGACAATGAAGGCCCACAGTACATCATGCCTGACAATGTAGGTCCACAGTACGCCATGCATGACAATTTAGGTCCCCAGTACACCATGCCTGACAATGTAGGTCCCCAGTACACCATGCCTGACAATGTAGGTCCCCAGTACACCATGCCTGACAATGAAGGCCCCCAGTACACCTTGCCTGACAATGAAGGCCCCCAGTACGCCTTGCCTGACAATGAAGGCCCACAGTACATCATGCCTGACAATGTAGGTCCCCAGTACGCCTTGCCTGACAATGAAGGCCCACAGTACATCATGCCTGACAATGTAGGTCCCCAGTACGCCATGCATGACAATGTAGGTCCCCAGTACACCAATAGTCTGTCCGTTAGTTTGTAATATATTTGTGCCATATGCTGCTGGGCTGGTCAGGTTGATTTACTCTGTATGCGTTTAGTTATATGGTTTGTGATAGGTGTTGAGCTATACACAAGACTTCTGTAGTAACTGCTTGTCTGTGACAGGCCCAGTGTGATCAAGGAGACTTCACCCGGGCCAAGGAACTGTTCACCCGGGCCGAGAGCCTGGAGCCCGACAACGCCAACATCCTGGTGCATCGTGGGTAAGCAGACTCCACCTCCTTCAGGAATAACTTAGAACTTGTAAATTGAGAACTGATTGCTGGACAACACCACAAATGGTTGCTTAATTTGACCTTACTTGTTAAACACCAGTTTCATATGCTAGTATCATAAGTCTGTTGTGAAATATGGAAATGCCTTGAGACAAGTCAACCAGTAGTTGTTACTCGTGGATGACAGTCGTCAACTGAACATAAATTACTAAGGCTTGCCACTTGTTGTGATTTGTTTTTTAATTGCATTCTGTACAAAACTGGGGCATTCGGGTAGCCTAGTGGTTAAAGCATTCGCTCGTCACCCGGGGTTCGATTTCTCACATGGGTACAATGTGTGAAGCCCATTTCTGGTTTCCCACGCTGAAATATTGCTGGAATATTGCTAAAAGCGGCGTAAAACAATCCTTACCCACTCACACACTCACTCACACACTGGACCCGTGAAGATCCGGGGTAGAATAGGTCTTCAACAACCCATGCTTGCCGTAAAAGGTGACTATGCTTGTCGTAAGAGGCGACTAACATGATCGGGTGGTCAGCCTTGCTGACTTAGTTGATGCATGTCATCGATCCCAGTTGCGTAGATCGATGCTCATGATGTCAATCACTGGATTGTCGTGTCCAGACTCGATTATTTACAGACCGCTGTCATATAGCTGGAATATTGCTGAGTGCAGCGTTAAAGAACAAGCAAACAAAACACTCACACACTGTGCAGTATATATACATGAAAGTGCATATTATGTGACCTGTGAAGATCTGGGTGAGAATTGACTTCAGCAACCCATGCTTGTTGTCAGAGTTTGTAGATCCTACTGTCGTGTTACTTTCGTTGCTGTGTGTCCTGGTGTCAGTGTGATTGTCTCCTTCTCCAGGTTGCTGTGTCTGCAGACTAGCAAGGATGCTAACCAGGCCCTCACCATCATCCGACGAGCCGTGGAGGTCGACCCGCTATGTGAATATGCTCATGAAATCATTGGCACTATTGAGGTGCAGAGGTGAGGTTTTGCTTCATAACGTGTGGAAATAAGGTCAAAATAGGTCAATTAGACTCTGCTGTTTGTCGTAAGATGCAAAAGTGAATTGCTGGTCTTGCCTTGTGGAACATCTCTCGTTTTTTGAGTACCTTGGTTTCTGATATTAAGCCTACATCCTTGTCATGTGGCACAGTGAAAGATGTTGACAGTTCAATGAACAGCGTATTGTCCATTGGATATGCCAGCAGTCAGTGTTCGTCGTGGAGTTCAAACATTCAAATACTATAGGATCAAACCGCAATTAATCCTGAAAGCCCCTTGTAATTTCAACCTTGTGAGTTTTCCGGGGTAGAAAATATCCCAAGAAACCTATGCTTTTGTGAGAGTTGGCCAGATGGATGGGGTCGTCAGGCTTGGTGACTTGGTTGTTTCACTGTCATTGAGGTGGCACGGGTGGCCCAGTCGTCTAAGGTGCTGCGATTCGCTGTGCAGAGTTGCGTTCCGTGGGCACGCCACAAACCTATGATTGTGGGTTCGAATCCTGGTTCGCCCCGATTATGTTTCTAGGTTTGTCAGCACCATACCCGTACTCGTTGGTTTCACCGAAGTGGTAAACGTCTGATACCTGCATCACTTCGGGCTTTCCTCCCTCATTCAGCTGACACGCAGCGATATAACTTGAATACTGTTAAAAGTGGCGTTAAACCAAACTCACTCACTCACTCATTGTCACTGAACCTCACAACGTGGTTCGTTGGACTCAACATCATCACTTGTCAGTCCGGACTCCATGTACTTACAGGATGCCATCAAACAGCTTCAATATTGCTGAGTGCAGCATTAAACAACAAACAAACAAACTGGATTTCCAACAGAGATCTGACATAATGTTCAAAGCCTGTGTGGAAACCAAATCGTATAGCTGGAATATTGCTGAGTGCAGCATTAAACAACAAACAAACAAACTCCTGACATAATGTTCAAAGCCTGTGTGGAAACCATCTCATATAGCTGGAATATTGCTAAGTGCAGCGTTAAACAACAAACAAATAAACAATGAAACCAACATTTCACACTCCTGTCTGTCATCTTCAGAACCAACATGCAGGCTGCTGAATACCACTTCAACAAGGCTATAGAGCTGTCTAAGTCGGAGGCGGAGATGGCGCACCTGTTCTCCTTGCTCCACGCCTCCCAGATACAGACCCGAGTCGCACAGAAGCTTGGCATCGACGTCCCAACATTCGGACCATAAACCACCTCCACGTACAGGTAAACAGGGCTCCTCACAGCACAGGTATTCCATACAAATTAGCAAAAGGAAATAATGTTTTGTAATTTTAAGAAGATCATTTGAAGTTATGGATACTCAGGCCATGTTGGTTTCTTAGAAGATTTTCTGATGTAGATTATCTTAGAAGATTGTTGATGTCGATTATCTTAGAAGATTGTTGATGTCGATTATCTTAGAAGATTTTCTGATGTAGATTATCTTAGAAGATTTTCTGATGTAGATTATCTTAGAAGATTGTTGATGTCGATTATCTTAGAAGATTTTCTGATGTAGATTATCTTAGAAGATTGTTGATGTCGATTATCTTAGAAGATTTTCTGATGTAGATTATCTTAGAAGATTGTTGATGTCGATTATCTTAGAAGATTGTTGATGTCGATTATCTTAGAAGATTTTCTGATGTAGATTATCTTAGAAGATTTTCTGATGTAGATTATCTTAGAAGATTTTCTGATGTAGATTTTCTTAGAAGATTTTCTGATGTAGATTATCTTAGAAGATTTTCTGATGTAGATTATCTTAGAAGATTGTTGATGTGGAAATATATGATATTTTGTTGTCTGTTTTGATACTGATGTTTCAAAGCTTATTGAATTGTAATTTAAGACTAATTGGAACAGAAATACTATATATTAGGGGAATGGAATTTTTTTTTAAAGATATTTAGAAGTTTTGGAATAAGGGAGAGAATATATGGATGTCAACTAGGGCTGGGACGAGTCCAAATTTACTACCCAGGTACCCACACCCCTATCACTCGACCCTACCCGGGTACCCGATGTTGGTGTCAAGAGATAGGTACAAAATGTCTGATTGGGAATAGTTTGACAGTAGCCCTGGCAAAATGTATTTAAATACCCGTATAAAAAGATGTGGTCATGCATACACTGAAGTCGACTGAAGTTTTAGCTTTGTTCAAACATATATAAGTCAGAAGGAACGTGTTCATAGCCATGAAGAAATGCGAACATTAGAGACTTAAAATTGTCTTGGAACCATGTAGTTATATAGATAATTTTTGTCTTGAAACAATATACCACATGACTAACCACGGGTCTGGGTAGTCCTGTGGGTACCCGGGTCCTACTCAGTACCCACCCAACCCGAGTACCCGGGTTACCCGTCCCAGCCCTAATGTCAACTTCTTTATTATGAGGAACACAACATTTCGGAGTATATGCTTACTCCTACATTAGGTGAATGAAGGAGTAACCATATACTCCGAAACGCTGTGTTCCTCATAATAAAGTTGACATCCATATGTTCTCTTCCTTATTTGTATCACTTCTAAATGCCTCCAAAGACCTGAAGTTTTGGAATGTTATTGATAAGTTATCAGGAGATAAGGAATGATTAGATTTCGTATGGAAGTACCATGTAAAATTATTAATTCTGTTTTGATTAACGGTGAGAAATATGTGCTGTTAGGAACAGCCCTGTTTACTGGACTACCAACTGTTACTGTGTGAATGAGTGTTAGATTTATTACCTTATACGATGAAGAAAAACCCAGAAATATTGTTGAAGCATTCCAGTGCATCAAATTAACCTTTTTCTGAATATGTCTTGGAATCCAATTGATTATGTTGATAAATGCACTTCGACTGCTTGGTCTATTCCTGCATTTATACTGGTAGTTAGGATTGAGTGTAATTGTGATATAAGCATGAGACAAAGTATCTGGATGTTCATGTAGATAGTTGGACTTGCACTTGTAAATTATAGCTTGTTTTGTACTACTGTTATTATATTAGGCCAGGCGTTTTTTGTTTTTATTAGGATTACGGATTTTTCAGCCCAAAGTCCAGGGTTGGAGGAGGGAAAAAAGCCAGGTGCATTTTTTTTAATGCAGAATGCCTCTGGCATACTTTATGAACATATTCTATGCTCAAAAGACTGGCATTTGTGACAATAAAGTCCCTTGTAACAATAAAAATTCTACCACTTATAACACGGACAATTGTCAAGGGAGGCTATTCATGTTCGGCTTCGCGATCAACAAAGATCGATTATGTATCTCTTTACTAGTTTACAACGGTAAATTTTACTAAAAGGTGATGACAGCAAATAAAATAACTGACAACACGACTATCGAGGGGGGGGGAAATGGAAATCTGATTTTTTTTGATTTTTTTTTTTTTTTTACATTTTCTCAAAAATTAGTCAGCGGGTCCGTAATCTGAAAAATATAAAACGCCTGGCCTTATCAGATTACTATACAAGAGAGAATGGGGATGATGAGACTGTGACAGTGCTAGGTGTGATGTAAACAGATGTCTATGTGTTGTCAATATCGACTTCCACAGAACCTCGCTGAAAGGTGAAACAGAATATTTGTGTTGCGACAATTTCACTTTGTGCTTCATGGTACGATACTTATGATAAAGGATGGCTATAGTAAGTGGTGATCCTTCAGTCTTTTCAGAGGATCTCCATATATATATATATATATATATAACCAGGTATCAATATAACTGATAGTAGAACGTAAGTTGGGCTTTTGACAAGGTTTTTTTGTCAACTTTTTTCAAAAAGAAGTGTAGTATCTGTGATTATATAAATTGTTTACAACTGAAATTCATAATATTTGTGATGATATTAGTCTATCTTCAAAACAGCAAACAGCATTTCAATATAGTCCTGGGTGACCCATCTTCTCGAGGCAAGGGAGTTAACTGACTTAATAAGTCTAGTTTCCACGCTTGGTAAACAAGGCTGGAATAATGGAGTTGTAATCTGGCTGGACTAACGGGTCTTTGCATAGTCCAATCAAAGTAGCGAAACGAAATGGACAACTGGTTCGTAAACTGCAGGCAGATATTGTTTGATTGCAGGATTTGCAAAGCATGTGTACCGACAACATGCCGTCAACTTTTCCAAATCTTTTCATGTTTTTAATCAAGGTGCTCACGTGATTTGATGAACTTTGCAAAGTAAGACCGTTTTATTACAATATAGATCTTGATTATAGATCAGATCGTCTTGACTGGGCGTCCCCATTTTCTTTGTGGCAAATGCAAATGATTGGTCAATAGGAGGGACATTGAAGGGACACAACTCCTTGGCCATTAGGGATAACAATAGCCACTGGTGGCGCTACGATCGAGCCCAGAGATTCAAGTCTAGTTTGGCAAGGGTGGCAACTGGACTTTTATAGTCAGTTAACTCCCTTTCCTTGGGAAGTGACTTAATGCTGTATTGTTTCAAAATGTGATAACACAATACTGTCTTTCTTTTTCGGACTTTGTCCCCAGTAGAAATAAAACTAGTTATTTCACCAAACAAGTAATGAACACAAATATTGCTAGATTGAATTTGTTGCAGTGATAATTTTTGGCTGCCTTTGAGTTTGTATTATCCGTTATCATCAAGGTGTTTGCTTCTGTTGAACTGGGAGCTGGTGTCTCGTTCTGTTGCCATGGTTTCTTCCCTATTCCTACATGGGTTTTAGTTGATGGAGATGAAGATGTGGAAGTCGTATACACCTGTTTATCACATTAATATATCAGCTATTGTCATTGATTTGTATGTTCTATGTTTTGCTGTTGTTTTGAATGTGGAGGCTATTATTGTTATTGTGCTTTAACATGGAGTGAGATGTTTCATAGTTTATCATTTGTTAGAGATGCTGTTGTGTGTGATGCTGCATTGAGGTGTGACGAGTTGCATGACTGGATGAGAGTTGTCATCACACACCATTAGAAACACATGGGCATCAGTTTGTATGGATAAGTGAAAACAAGGGAGACAACTCATGTTTAAATCATAGAATGTAAAGGTCTTCAAGTTATGATATTAATTTGATTTTCTAAATTGGTATTGAAATGGAAGATAAATATTTGAATAAATACTTTATCATTTGATAAAATGAGTCAACACATCAAGATTGATGAAAGACAACTAATTGTATTGGGCTTAAAAAAAATAAAATAATTGGTTTTCAGGCAATGGCTTTTGAAAATATAGTGCGGGCCGGCGGTGTGTTTCGTTTGGTTGTTCAAACTAATATGTAACCAAATAAACAGATGTATAGCCAAATAAACAGTTGTGGGAAAGGGCCTCCCTACATTAATATATAATACTGAAATACGGTACTACCTTTGGACTTGGAATATTTCAGGAATTTTTAAAAAAAATTAAAAGATGGAAATAAAAATGGAACATGCGGCAAACTTTATGATGATGCGGGTGGTGCCTGAGAACCAAGACTATTATTTTTTTTAGCCTTGATCAGGTCATAGGAAATGTTCTCCATTAGATGGTATTTTGACAACAGTTTCCTGACACTTGGCTCATACAGGTGCTAGTCAGTGTTCACAGATATACATTATGATGTGGGGATGTGGCACATTATACAGTCAAAAATCATGTGGTCCTACATTTCACAATCACCAGTTTGAATGTCCTGGCAGTGATCACTATCTGGCCACTGTAACATGCAGGCAGTGATCACTATCAGGCCACTGTAACATGCCGGCAATGATCAATATCAGGTCACTGTAACATGCAGGCAATGATCACTATCAGGCCACTGTAACATGCAGGCAATGATCACTATCAGGCCACTGTAACATACAGGCAATGATCACTATCAGGCCACTGTAACATGCAGGCAATGATCACTATCAGGCCACTGTAACATGCAGGCAATGATCACTATCAGGCCACTGTAACATGCAGGCAATGATCACTATCAGGCCACTGTAACATGCAGGCAATGATCACTATCAGGCCACTGTAACATGCAGGCAATGATCACTATCAGGCCACTGTAACATGCAGGCAATGATCACTATAAGGCCACTGTAACATACAGGCAATGATCACTATCAGGCCACTGTAACATGCAGGAAGTGATCACTATCAGGTCACTGTAACATGTCAAGTGTCAAACACCCTCTGTCAACATCGCATCTTGCCAACATTTCCAGACCACTTTGTGGTAAAGTTGTCATCCAACGTCTTGCCTACATTATCAGACCACTTAGTGATAGACTCATTCGAGAAGATAGTTGTCATTCAATATCTTGCCTACTTTTCAAGACCGTACAAGCATATAGTCACCAGTCATTTGTGAAATGAATGTGAATGTGTGTGCCAGTGTATGTGAACATCTTGCCCACACCACCTAACCGATGATTCAATGCTGTGTGTGGATGAGTTTATGGATGAATATCTGAATCAGCTTGTGCTTCTGTGTGAGTGATTATTTTTTCCAAATGTGAATTTTATTATCCTGATGATTTTGCGGCTAAATGTTGCTACTTTCTTTCCCTATGACATAACTCTGCAATGATCTGGGCCCATTCCACAAAGCATTCTTAGTGCTACGATAATCTGTCGCCTATGCTAAAGTATTGGAATTACGATCACCTTAGCGCAAAGATCCCTTTGTGGATCAGGCCCCTGTACCCTTGTGTTGTACACCAAGCTGTAACCTAGTGTTGTACACCAAGCTGTAACCTAGTGTTGTACACCAAGCTGTAACCTAGTGTTGTACAGAGTTGTACACCAAGCTGTAACCTAGTGTTGTACAGTTGTACACCAAGCTGTAACCTAGTGTTGTACAGTTGTACACCATGCTGTAACCTAGTGTTGTACAGTTGTACACCAAGCTGTAACCTAGTGTTGCACAGAGTTGTACACCAAGCTGTAACCTTGTGTTGTACAGTTGTACACCATGCTGTAACCTAGTGTTGTACAGTTGTACACCAAGCTGTAACCTAGTGTTGTACAGTTGTACACCAAGCTGATGTGACTTCATTTGCTTCAAACATAATATAGGAGGTTGCACCTGGAATGTGCATAATTGACTGATTCCTGTATGTTTAACAACATGGGAATGTTTTGAACAAATACATCAATGACTTCCATCACAACCATTCTCCATATTCAGGCCCCCCTAATACATTTTGCAATCTGTGTCAGACACTAGACTGCTTGCCTGAACCTGTCATTTAGGCATCATTTTCTTTTTTGTGTGTGTGGCTTTTGTTGGCTGAATTAACCAGACTGGAATTCATCGTACAAGACACGTGTATCAGGGCCAAAGTTGCAAACTGACTGATGAAACAGGCCTTTCTCCCATGCTGGTGAATATCATGTTCCTTGATTCTGTTTGAATCTTTCCAGGAAATGCATCCAGTTGTGGACAAATTAAGTCCAAACTTGACATTTGTCTAATATTCCATGTAGTTCAAAAGCATGTTTGTAGTAAATATTAGATTGTCTTTTTTCTTTCTTTAATTCTTGCTTGTGGTCCATCTTTTGATGTGTCAATATTTATAATCAGTGACAAATTTAGATTTTGATATTTACAATACAGCAGCGTTAGAAATTGGCACTAGTCCTATAGTCCTTACCAAACTGACCAATAGTAAAGGTATCCTAAGGACGAGTAGAAATTGGTCCATTTTAAGGGTTTTGCTATGTGATATCATTATAAGGACTAGTGGACAAAAACTGTTAGTTTCTAACCCTGTACAGTCAACTCTGGACGTTATCAGACCTTCATGTGAGTGTTGTACCTAATGTCTTCTTTCATGAATCATGTGAATTCATGTTGGGGTTAGAGTTAGGTTTCAAAGACCATACTTCAGCCCACTTACTCAGAGTTGACCATATTCAATGGTGTAAAGACGGTTGTTTTCGTCATTTGTATTGAAATAGCTTTTAGAAGCCATCCAATTGTGTTATCTGTGTGGCCTCCTGATTACACTGAGTGAGAGTGCAGAAACAATACCCCCTGGGCTGTAGTGCAGCTAGGTGGGCGATGTGTATACATGTGTATACTGTATCTGTATACATGTGTATACTGTATGTGTGTGTCATCTGTGTGGCCTCCTGATTACACTGAGTGAGAGTGCAGAAACAATACCCCCTGGGCTGTAGTGCAGCTAGGTGGGCGCTGTGTATACATGTGTATACATGTGTATACATGTGTGTACTGTATCTGTATGCATGTGTATACTGTATGTGTGTGTCATCTGTGTAAATAGGATCATGTGTCACATGGAATAAAGCACCCATGTGAACAACAATCTGTCTCTTGTCTTTTGTCACATCTGAGGATTGATTTATTTTTCGGTTCCTGGAGTTTATAATAATGTGCATGCTTAAAATGCACCAAATCCACATGTACTGCACGAGGTCATTACGAGTGTAGTACGACATACACAAGCTGTCTACGAGCAAAGCCGGGAACACGAGTATAACACAAGCAGGACACAATGTAACATGAGTATTGGCGATATAATGAACATATCCAAAATATCTGACATCGTGAACCAACAATTTCACGATGTGTCACAAGCACATGAAGAGATCAGTACGAGACCATCACAAGCTAATCACAATGTATAACAATCTTTCACAGAAGCACAACGTGATATATCATGGCCAACGTTACGAAAGCGGCCTGGAAGCCCCACTTTACAAACTCATCCTACTGGGAACCTGTTTACTGCACGGTGAACAGAGGCATATTTCGAGCAAAGTCTCTTGCCTAAGGAGACACCACAATTATAGTATTCGACGTTATAAGCGCCCATGGCAATATTTGCTAATATATTGGCTAGTGAACAATCCCAATTAGCACCCCTTCCATTTGATCAATGTCAGAAGACTTATTTATTCACGTATAATACGCACTCGTGCGTTATATGTACCCTTAATTATGGGCAATTAAATTCTGGAAAAAATATATTTATCGTACATAAACATTTCGGGCTGTCAGCATAAACCACGAAATTTATCTTTCAACTTTTTTCACCAAAATGATATTCTAATAAGAGCCCCCTATTTCTAATTTTGAGAGCGCCCTGGGCGCTTATTACGTAGAATACGGTAACGTGTTTCAGTATGGGGCAGTACTGGAGCCCCAGAAACTCGCAGACAAGCTTTCCAGACACGGTCACCTATCTACGTCCTCTCCGTGGCCAACGTTGCTTATCTTCGCCATATTTGTCTTCTGTGCTCTGCACATGAATCTGTCTTTAGAATTATACACAATGTTTCACTGATCGTGATGCAGTACAATCGACATTGTCAACACAAACTTACACAGTTTTTCCAACTAATTGTTAACTGTATCCTGTTTTGCACCACATTCAAACTAAATCTATACTACTCAAAATATGTTAAGGACCATCCAATTCTTTGTTACCATAGTTAATCTGTCATGGCATTACAAATTACATGTGGTTGACAGCATGAACAACAGTCAGGCAGGATTCTGGAATTCTAAAATAAGTAGGTCTAGATATATAAATCTCTGGTCAAATCAAGACATCAAACAGTCATCATGGCCACACACTAACCACCCGATGTGGGAAAGTTTTACCGATATTTCCTTCGGGCTTTGGGCCGACTATCGACCTAATTAGGTCTAGATCAATCCCTGGTCAGGTCATCACATCAAACAATCAGCTAGGCCACAGACTGTAACTGGGAGTCAAGTCTGTCAGGTCAAGACCTCCAACAATCACACACTGTAACCACCTATTGTCAGGAGTTGTCAGACACATCAAGCATGAAGTACTGAGACCTCACTCTGTCAGGTCAAGACCTCCAACAATCACACACTGTAACCACCTATTGTCATGAGTTATCAAGCATGGTGAGGTGAGGTGAAATGGGGTTTAACGTCGCGTCCAAGATTATTGCACTTATATGGCGACGTGCATGCATGTGTATGTGTGTGTGTCTGCTTGTACTAGTCCAGACTGATGCCGATTTATAGTGCCAGCACACTGAGATACCATGCCGCAATTAAACATGAATACCCCACTCAGACACAGTATACTGACTCCGAGCCGACCAGTCCTTGTTTTAGCCCCTTTATGCCGAGCGCCAGACAGGGTAACAACAAGTACCATCTTTTAACGTCTTTTGGTATGACGCGGCTGGGGATCGAACCACGGACCTTCCGCTCTCCAGGCGGACGCTCTACCATTAGACCACGGAGGCGGTCTATCAAGCATGGAGTACTGAGACTCCATTCTGTCAGGTCAAGACCTCTAACAATCACACACTGTAACCACCTGATTGTCAGGAGTTATCAAGCATGGAGTACTGAGACCCCACTCTGTCAGGTTAAGAATCACAACTGAAGCATTTTGATGGAATAATACAGCCGATAAAGCTACAACCAAAAGGTTAAGATAATTATCGTGTACACATGTCAAAAAGTCCAAGAAACAGAATGAAATGAAGAAGAACTTTATACACTGTGTTTATTGAAAACACATATGAACTTTTCATCATAAAAATATGGTAAAAACATAGGTTGCATTTACCTATACAAAGTGTGGCAACAAATAACAGAATAAATGCACATGGAAGAACTAATCAGCTACAGATTATGCCCTCTCAACAAATACTTGAAACCATTTCCCTCTAATGTATAACACTAGCAGAGTTCGAAACTAAGCAAGAAAATCATAACTCTAATGTTGAAAGTTACAGAGTTAGTGAGTACATAGATTCAAACACCAGAGCAGCCAATTAGTGAGTAAGTTGGGTCTTATGCCATTTTAAGCAATATCACGGCGGGGGGACACCAGAAATGGGCTTCACATATTGAACCCATGTGGGGAATCAAACCCAGGCTTTTAACGTGACGAGCGAACACTTGTACCACTAGGCTGAGATACACCGTCACAGAGCACTTCAGTGACCTCCTTTCCTTTATTAAGCATACTTTTAATTTTAACGTACAAAAAAACCAACAAAATCATTTGGTGACATGTTTTCAACAAAAATAACAGATACTTGACTAACATTTGTCAAATTGTTTCCCGAATGAAATATTTGCATTCTTCAAGATTTTATTTACATCAAAAAGCAGGGTCCACGCTTGCTGTCAGTGTTGGTTGTTGAAGTTGGTTTGTTAGTTTGTTGTTTAACGCCGCACACAGCAATATTCCAGCTATATGACGGCGGTCTGTAAATAATCGAGTCTGGACCAGACAATCCAGTGATTGATATCATGAGCATCGATCCAAGCAATTGGGATCGATGACATGCATCAACCAAGTCAGGTAGCCTGACCACCCGATCCCGTTAGTCGCCTTTTACGACAAGCATAGTCACCTTTTACAGCAAGCATGGGTTGCTGAAGACCTATTCTACCCCGGAATCTTCACGGGTCTCGTTGTTGAAGGTAACAGCAGCAGGTTGAGGAGACAGGCCAGCATGGTGGGACTAGCTACAGACACAGGAGGACGGACAACTGGGATGAGTTGCTCTGCTGCATCCAAGCCTCCATATGGTTGTCACATCACAGGAAGTGGTCATCCGGCCATGACGCTCAATGTTTGTCCCATGAATTATGAAAGGTGATCGTGAAGGTTGAAATATTTCACCTCTTGGTGGGCACAATATTACAGCTGAAATCAAGACATGAAGAAAATAAATCTTACTGTTTGATATATTAACATCAATTTCTAAATTCATTTGATTCTTCTACAGTAAGCTATGTTAATAATGAACACGCTTATAACAAACTGATGGATATAACGAACTTATTGTTTTTTGTCCCGACCATTTGCTGTACATATACTTATAACGAACTAAAATGAGTGGTCCCTTTGAGTTCGTTATAACCGTAACCATATCCTCACACACCTCATACCTGACCGCCTCCATGGTCTAATAGTAGAGCGTCCGCCCGGAGAGTGGAAGGTCCGGGGTTTGATCCCCAGCCGCGTCATACCAAAAGACGTTAAAAGATGGTACTTGTTGTTACCCTGTCTGGGCTAAAACAAGGACTGGTTGCTCGGAGTCAGTATACTGTGTCTGAGTCGGGTAACCCATGTTAAACTGCGGCATGGTATCTCAGTGTGCTAGCACTATAAATCGGCATCAGTCCGGACTAGTACAAGCAGCCACACACAAACACACACATACACGTGCATGCACGTCGCTATATAAGTTCAATAATCTTGGACCCCATTTCACTTCACCTCATACCGAAGTTATAAACCTACTGCCACTTTTGCCTATTGTAACCGGTTATGCTCAGAGGTCTAACATTTGAATTTTGTAACAGCCTTTTAAAATGCATCTAATGTTGATTTTTGATTGGTTAAAAGTCACAAATTCTTTTCATATGACAATTCCATGACGTGAATCAAACTCGCAACATCATGAGAAAAAAGACAGTTAAATGGGGTTGCCAAAATGTATCACATCTATACTGATGGAAAGAAATACGTGAGTGAGTGAGTTGGGTTTAACGCCGCTTTTAACATTATTGCAGTTATATCATGGCGTGTCAGCTTAATGTGGGAGGAAAGCCCGAAGTGATGCAGGTCTCAGACGTTTACCGCTTTGGTGAAACCCACGAGCACGGGTATGGTGCTGGCAAACCTAGAAACATAATCGGGACGAACCGGGATTCGAACCAACAATCATAGGTTTCTGGCGTGCCCAAGGGACGCAACTCTGCACAGCAAATCGCGGCACCTCAGACGACTGGGCCACCTGTGCCCCCAACAAATACGTGAATAATCACAACTATAGGAAATAAGCTTCACTGTCAGTACATTTAAAATAGAGCGTGTGCAAATTAACATGTCAGAATCAAATGTTGAAATTTCTTTGTGTGCATTGTTTCCATTGTATTTGGTAGACAGGGCTGGGAACCCATGATAGCATATCATTTTACTGTGTCTATCCCTACGTGTTCTCTTGTTTATTTCCATCAGTAAACATCAGTATTCTATTTTTTAGGGACTGGTAATTTATTATGGGGGGTGTGTGTGTGTGTGTCATAAATTGTAGCAAAATACAATACAGTCCTAAGATGAATCTCCCCCACCTCATCGCCAAAACCTATCCCAATAATAAATGACCAGTCCCTAAACTCGACCTGTTTTAATCACCCTCGTACTTACCCCAATCCACGGATATTACTTACCCCAGTAAACCACGCCCACTCCATGTTTTGGGAGTGAGACTCAACCGCATGACCTTGCCCTGCCTTCTAACCGTCACACTCAGAGCTTTCTGAAATCACAAACAGGTCTTGTCAAATGAAGACCTCCACAGTCATTTGACATACCCTCCACTACCAGGCCAATGTAACCAGTGCCCCATTCCACAAAGCATTTGTAGTGCTTGGACAATCAGAACTTCCAAGACTTTAACATAGACCTATCACTGTTGTAGTGCTATGATTGTAACTCCCAAGACTTTAAAACTGTGGTATTGTGATAAGATCCTGGTCAGTTCGTGAGCGAATAAAATGTGATCAGCTCATCCTTAACCTCATAACAATGACAGGCAATCACAAAATAAATACCGTATTAGACGTAATAAGCACCCAGGGCGCTCTCAAAATTAGAAATGGGGGGCTCTTATTAGAATATTATTTTGGTGGAAAAAAACATTGAAAAGATAAACAAAAATTGAAAGATAAATGTCGTGGTTAATGCTGACGTTCTGAACTGTTTATATACGACATATATTTTTCCAGAATTAAATTGCCCATAATTAAGGGTGCATATAACACACGAATGCGTATTATACAGGAATAAATATGTCTTGTGTACATTGATCAATCGGAAGGGATGCTAATTGGGATTGTTCACTTGCCAATATATTAGCAAATAACGCCGTGGGCGCTTATTAGAGCGAGGCGCTTATTACGTCGAATACGGTATTACCATTATACTTCTGTACATTATCTAATTCCACAAACCTATCTCTCTCTCATGGATCTCCCTGGTAATGTCAATGATAACCTACAGGAATCATGTCAGCTAGTGCAGATCTCCAGATAAGCTTTTGGTGTTGTGGGTATTTTACCCATGCATTTTAAAAACATTCGGTATCAGTAATTCTATCTGGGTATTCAAATTTCTGTTACCCACTAGTTTTTATTAGAATAAAGTAATACAATTCAAGAACCTTTTTGGTCAGCACCATTGTGCCTAGTGTAGACTCAACAGGACCAGTAGTTGTGCTGGCCCTTTCAACTACTGACAGATCCTGGTTAGAATAGGTCTTCATCAACCCATGCTTGCTGTAAAAGGCGACTAACAGGATCGGGTGGTCAGGCTTGGTTGATGCATGTCATCATATCCAAATTGCATGAATTGATGTTCATGATGTCAATCACTGGATTGCCTGGTCCAGACTTGAAAATTTATAGACTGTCGTCATATAGCTGAAATATTGCTGAGTGTGGCGTTAAACAACAAACAAACACTGAGTAAGTATTGCTTCACCCTACATCAGCAGTTTTGCAGCTGCTGTGAGCAGGAATGTTACATATTTGCTTGAGACTGAACGCAAAGGACAATGAATGCAAAGATGCAGGGACAGCACTCACATCCTTGCTGTGCTGGACCAGGGAGCCGATGCTCTGCAGGCCGGTGAAGTTGTCTGCCGTCACTGAGCCAAATATTATCACCTCATCCTCAACCTCAAAACCCTGAAAAACACAATCACAAACAATATCACCTTTTTATGTTATAAGTGAGAAAGACTGAGAGTTCTAAAGTTTAGAAAAATTATATTTTCACAGCAGTCACAGAAAAGTGAAATGTTCACAGCAGTGAAAATAACATTTTGCCGGCACTACCCGCAGTGAACTTACCCGCCTATCACCTGATGCATGCCACAGTAGCTGGCCTTCGGAACACTTACATTTCTGTGTTAACAGTGAAAATATTTAACAGTCAGTAAAAGATTTACTGGATAACAGTTCTTATTACTTGCCCGTGAAGAGATCACCTGTTTAATAAACATACAGCTGTATTACACATTGTGTAATACCAAAACGCGTGCTTATGTACTCTCGGAACACGTTTCTATAACAAATATTGAAAGCTCTCGACATCCCTTGGCTTATTCAACGACATTGCGTTGTGGAGTTGATAGATCACTGAGAGGAGCTTATGCACACTCGATGACCCCAGTAACCTTGTTGCTAGGCTGACGTCACATGGCATTGTTTCGCCGATGGATCTTGCAACAAAATTCCACAAATTACTTCATCAGGTATTGTGACGTGATTGTAAACTTTGAGGTGCGTTGCCCTGTTCCACAAAGTGATCATATTGTAGCGCAACGACAGTCGTTGGTCTAAGTTAAAAGAGTTGCATAACCTTAGCGCTACAATAGTTTTGTGGAACGGACACCTGAATTCTAAAGGTGGACCGTTGTATGGTATTAAATTCATACTTTTGACGTGTTTGAAGTATTATTCTGTTAAACTCAATTGGGCGATGCCACTCGCTCCCGTGTGAAACCAATTTTAGGAAACTTGTGAATAGTTGTGGTATTTGACTCGCTTTCGGTTGTCAGATACCAGAACTATTCACTCGTTTCATAAAATTGATATTACACGGGAGCTCGTTTAGTATTCTATATTTATGAGTAATTTGTTCGAAACTCTTATTATATTAACAAATGCAAGCGATTGCGCCTCCCGGTTTCTTTCGACTCCATGTTTGTTGCTTAAAATTTAATATTTTAATGGAATTGTAAGTTAGATTAAATACCTCAATCAGGAAATGAGCATTCACTAATTAAGAAAGTATGAATTAAAATATCAGCCGTATGTATTTGATGGAGCTTATTATTATTTCGAATTGTTTTTTCAAACATTAGCACAATGTCTTGTTTGCATGCAGGAAGCCATGTGTGAAAAGGTCTAAAATAACCACATGGCTTCACAAAAACTATAAAAACAATTTATTGTTGGTGCAGTGGTCAACCTTGGACCTCCCAATTTCACGTCTCGGGCCCCCGATTTCATGCCTTGCAGCCCCATTACTAAGTCCCTGATACACACAAACATTTAGATAAGAACAAATTAAGATAAAGTAAAAACAAGTATGAATAACGGACAAGCTGTCAAGATGAATCTAAGTTCCGGCGTTTTATATTTTTTCGGATTACGGACCCACTCTAATTTTTGAGAAAATGTAAAAAAAATATAAAAAATCAGATTTCCATTTTTTTTCCCGCCGATAGCCGCGTAGTCAGTTATTTTATTTATCATCACCTTTTAGTAAAAAACATATGAATTTACCGTTGTAAACAAGTAAAGAGATACATAATCGATCTTTGTTGATCTCGAAGCCGAACATGAATAGCCTCCCTTGACAAAAAAATTGTCCATGTTGTAAGTGGTAGAAGTTTTATTGTTACAAGGGACTTTATCGTTACAAATGCCAGTCTTTTGAGCACAGAATATGTTCATAAAGTATGCCAGAGGCATTCTGTATTAAAAAAAATGCATCAGGCTTTTTTTTTCCCTCCTCCAACCCTGGACTTTGGGCTGAAAATTCCGTTATCCTAAAACTAAAAAAAGGCCTGGCCTAAAGCGCAAAATCAACTGTATGTGAATGTGGATCATCAGTTACTATTACTAGTAGTCTGTAAGGAAACATGGAGGACACCTGGTGCTGCTTTTGTTTCATTACTTCAATTTGTGTTTTGCAAATACCAAACACTGACTGGTTTTATTGTGTAGTAAAACCTGTATGTATAGCAGTTTTTATGAGATTTAGCACAATTGTGATGAGTGTGAGTGAGTTTGGTGTAACGCCGCTTTTAACAGTATTCCAGTTATATCAGCACAGGTATGGTGCTGACAAACATAGAAACATATGGGTTCACTCGGTTCAAACCGGGATTCGAACCCATAATTATAGGTTTCTGGCGTGCCCAAGGGACGCAACTCTGCACAGCGAATCGCGGTGCCTCAGACGACTGGGCCACCCATGCCCCACAATTGTGATGAAGACCCAAAGAGATTTTTGGAAATAGTTTAGGTGAATCTTTTAAACCTATGACCAGCAAATCCAGGCACAACTAAGGGGAGCAACTATGCACTGCAAATTGTAATGTCCCAGAACACCAGTGGTTTCAGGAGACTGAGGTGTTTTAGCAGACTGTTTGTTTGTTTGTTTGTTTGTTGTTTAATGCCGCACACAGCAATATTCCAGCTATATGATGGTTGTCTGTAAATAATCAAGTCTGGACCAGACAATCCAGTGATTGACATTATGAGCATCAATCCACTCAATTGGGATATGATATCATGCATCATCAACCAAGTCAGCAAGCCTGACCACCCGATCCCATTAGTCGCCTCTTACAACAAGCAGTCACCTTTTACGGCAAGCATGGGTTGCTGATGACCTATTCTAACTCAGATCTTTTGGGGTATTTTTTTAGCAGACTGAGGTGTTTCAGGAGACTGAGGTGCTTTAGTAGACTGTGTTGCCTGCTGTATTTCACTCCATCAAAGCAAGTCCATGTTCTCTTTACCCCCTGAGCTGCTGGGGAGTTGGCATCCACTCTGTCAATCCTGGCAATGGCTTCTAGGGGTTTCTCCTCAGGCTTCTCCTTGTCCACCTCCATGTCCTCCTCCCTGCTGCTGAGACGCTGTCTGGCCTGGGCATGGATGCTGATCAGCTCCTCCTCAATCTCCCGCATCACCTCCTGGTGGTCATTCTGCAGACCTGGTGCCATACATTAGATTGGTTTATTCACAGTAATAAGGTAGATTTACATTGTGACAAGAGTGAGTGAGTGAGTTGGGTTTAACGCCGCTTTTAACAACATTCCAGTTATATCGCGGCGTGTCAGCTTAATGTAGGAGGAAAGCCCGAAGTGATACAGGTTTCACACATTTACCACTTCGGTGAAACCCACAAGCACGGGTATGATGCTGACAAACCTAGAAACATAATCGGGGCGAACCGGGATTCGAACCCACAATCATAGGTTTCAGGCGTGCCAAAGGGACGCAACTCTGCAAAGCGAATCACGGCGCCTTAGACAACTGGGCCACCCATGCCCCCAAATTACACATAGAACAGCCATTAGTGATGTAGTATGGTAAATAAAGCATAGAGGTATTGAATGTGTTCAAACAAGTGAAACCTTTTGGAGTTTCCGAACCTGTGTTTGAAAGTGTTCATGTAAAGCCGCCTCAACACAAGACCAGGCTGATACTACAGGTGGCTTATAGGACAGTCCTGGGGCTCTGGGAGCATACTCCACCCTTGGCTCTGTGTTTGAAAGCGTTCATGTAAAGCCGCCTCAACACAAGACCAGGCTGATACTACAGGTGGCTTATAGAACAGTCCTGGGGCTCTGGGAGCATACTCCACCCCTGGCTCTGTGTTTGAAAGCGTTCATGTAAAGTCACCTCAACACAAGACCTGGCTGACACTACAGGTGGCTTATAGAACAGTCCTGGGGCTCTGGGAGCATACTCCACCCTTGGCTCTGTGTTTGCAAGCGTTCATGTAAAGCCGCCGCAACACAAGACCAGGCTGATACTACAGGTGGCTTATAGGACAGTCCCGGGGCTCTGGGAGCACACTCCACCCTCAGCTCTGTCTTCGATGTACATCAAACACACAAAACTCAACACTCACGGGCAATCTGGTGTCTGGCGTGTCTGACTGAGTACACATCGATGTCAGATCGGGGAAAACCTTCTGTGTCAATGAGTGGACCATCTGTTCCCACACTTTTTTGCTGTGGAAAAGAAAGGAAATCTACTTTATTAATAATAATCATGTGATGAGTTGAAAACACAAGATCAGTATGTATATATACATGTCTAAATAACAAGCAAGACTTGCAACCTTTTTCATTCATTATTCACAGCAGGATCATGTGAGTGAGTGAGTTGGGTTTAACGCCACTCTTAACATTATTCCAGTTATATCACGGTGTGTCACTCTGTTGTTACTAATCACAAATTCACAAGCAAGTGCGTTTCGTAATCAATTTATCTTGAGCACCATGTTAGGTATTCTGCGCTTCCCAAATAAGGGACCGTGATCTATAATCTCGTACCGCCTCCTTGGTCATGTGGATAGAGTGTCTGCCGGGAGGGTCGAAGTACTTGTTGTTACCCTACCTGGCGCTCGACATTTGAGAGAGTGAGGGAGTAAGTTGTGTTTAACGTCGCTTTTAACAGTATTCCAGTTATATATCACGGTGTGTCAGCTTAATGTGGGAGGAAAGCCCGAGGTGATGCAGGTCTTGGACGTTTACCACTTCGGTGAAACCCACGAGCACGGATATGGTGCTGACAAACCTAGAAACATAATCGGGGCGAACCGGGATTCGAACCCACAATCATAGGTTTCTGGCATGCCCAAGGGACGCAACTCTGCACAGCGAATCGCGGCGCCCTAGACGAGTAGGCCACCCGTGCCCCCGGATCATGTGAGTTTCTATGTATTCATCATACATACTGTGGTTACCGTTGCACAGCGGTAGAAACTAACATTTTAGTCCATTAGTCCTTATAATGACAGCATATAGCAAAACCCTCAAAATGGCAAATGTCCACTAGTCCTTATGATACCTTAACTATTGAGCAGTTTGGCAAGGACGAGTGCCAATTTCTAACGGTGTACCAGTTACAAAATGCCATGTCATGCGAAGATTGGAAGATTGCAGTGATTAAGCCTATTGATGACAATTAAAAATACATTTAAAATCAATACACGTATCTCGTAGTATGTTTGCCCCCAAAGTCTTACCGAGTCAAGCAACGAATGAAGTTCCTTAATCTCTGATTCGAGGTCGTCTTTCCTTTTCACCAATGTTTTCATTCGCTCAGTGGAGGCTGCCATCTTGTTTATTTACAATATACAAAAAGTTACGCCGGCTTTTACAGCGAAAATTGATTCCTCTTAAAAATATATCTTAGTAGAACAGATTATCGTCTATCGGAATTCATAGATTCCAAGCTTAAGGCTATTAATATAAAAGGTACAAACCTAGAAAACAAGCGCAATATTCTATGCTACATTTTGTATGATGATAGTGTACATCTATAGATGATAATACTGAAATGTAAGAGTTGCACCCGACTCGCCTAAAATCCGACTCGCCTAAAAAATATATATAATATTTTGGTATGCGTTTGGCAAATATAACTTAGGTTAGGCCTAATGATCACAATTACTAGTATATTCATACACAAGTATGGAAATTATATTTAAAAAACAACGTATCATCCATATAATTTGTCTTCTGTCATATTTACATCTGCACTTCATGTTGAGTCAGTGAGTCAGAGCCCAGTCGGTTACGCTATTGGGACCGAGACTACAACACTAAATTAGGTACTTTATGTGTATAAAATGCATTACTATGTATTTCTGAAAGTTACATACTTATTCTAAAATACAAAAACCGACCGTAGTTCGCTCAAAAAAAAATTTAGGCGAGTCGGGTCAAAATCTTTTTAGGCGAGTCGGATTTTAGGCGAGTTGGGTAATATATATGGGCATGTACAATATTTATTAAAGTGCAAATGTACTATTCATGTGATTCAAGTCATAGTTTTATTTAGATCTGTGCTGCTAGAAAAGTGAAGATTGGGATGAGTTGAACGGTCTCCACCTTTTGACGAAGGCAATCTAATTGATCGTCAGCCTGTAAAAATGTTGATCAACTTCAACTGTACGTACTGTTACCATGATAGCTCGCTGTGTGCTCATGGCGATTCGAGAAGCCGTGCTTGATATTATCGTTGATCAGATACAGATTATCCTCAATACATTTGTAATATGTGTTATATCAGAGACCATAATATATGGTCTCTGGTTATATATGTAATTTTAACTAATTTGTGTTGAATTAGAGACGAACAGACAGCTAGCGAGACAGACAGACATGCAGACAGACAGTATTTCTCTCTGTGTCTTCAAGTCATCTAGCAATTGGAGGTTTTGTCCGGAGCTTAATCCAAAGTTGGCAGGTTTTAAGTTTCTTTCCCGAATTAGTTAAGTACTTCCCGAAGGAAGAAACGGAAAAAATAGTTTTATCAACTTGTTTGTTATGACTTGAGCACTTTCTGCGTAATTAGTTGTTCCTCGTAGCTCGTCGCTTATTATCTTATTACCTGTAAGGGTATTCCAGGAAATAAGACCCTTCTGAAAAAGATATCACAAAGTAGAGGTAGCCTGCATGTCTAGGTCGATCGCACCAGGTCAAAATAGGTCCTCACGCAATAGCATAGGCTGATCGCAAGTGGCAGGATTGGCGACTCGGCTGACTGCTGTTGATTAAGAAGGAGTCCACTATTGCCTACAGTGACAAATGCCTACAGTGACAAATACCTACAGTGACAAATGCCTACAGTGACAAATGCCTACAGTCTAAAACAAACATTTATATGCTTGAGTGGTTTTACATGTGATACCCTGCTACCTCTCTGCAGAGTTGAACTGGCCCATTTTAGTGTACTATTGCCTACAGTGACAAATGACAAACACCAGCAAATGATATTTAGTGATTTTTCTTCATTCATACATTTCTTCTGATATTTCATACATCATACATCATCCATAGTTTCATTTATCATATTTCAAATTTATTATTATATTTGAGTGCAGGGGTGCGTGTACACTAAAACAGCAACTTTTGTAGGCATTAGTCACTGTAGGTATTTGTCACTGTAGGCATTAGTCACTGTAGGTATTAGTCACTGTAGGCATTAGTCACTGTAGGAATTAGTCACTTTAGGCATTAGTCACTGTAGGCATTAGTCACTGTAGGTATTAGTCACTGTAGGTATTTGTCACTGTAGGTATTAGTCACTGTAGGTATTTGTCACTGTAGGTATTTGTCACTAGGCATTTGTCACTGTAGGCATTAGTCACTGTAGGCATTAGTCACTGTAGATATTTGTCACTGTAGGTATTAGTCACTGTAGGTATTTGTCACTGTAGGTATTAGTCACTGTAGGTATTTGTCACTGTAGGCATTAGTCACTGTAGGTATTAGTCACTGTAGGCATTATTCACTGTAGGCATTAGTCACTGTAGGTATTTGTCACTGTAGGTATTAGTCACTGTAGGTATTTGTCACTGTAGGTATTTGTCACTAGGCATTTGTCACTGTAGGCATTAGTCACTGTAGGCATTAGTCACTGTAGGTATTTGTCACTGTAGGTATTAGTCACTGTAGGTATTTGTCACTGTAGGCATTAGTCACTGTAGGTATTTGTCACTGTAGGCATTAGTAGACCTAACCTTGATCAACATACTGCCGACTGAGATAAACAGACCAACAATCAAGCATACATGGTGTCGTGATAAACACACTGCTGTAGGTCTGGGACGAGTCCAAATGTACTACCCGGGTACCCACCTCCCTATTACCCGACCCTACCGGGTACCCACTGTAGATATCTAGGGATAAGTACCAACTGTCCGATTTGGAAAAGTTTGACCGTAGCCCTGGCAAAACGTATTTTGGGTACACGTGTAAAACGATCTGGTCATGCATACACTGACGTTTACTGCATGAAGTTTTATCTTTATTTAGACATATAAAGTCAGAAGGGATGGCTGCATAGTCAGAAAGAAATGGAAACCTTAGTGACTTATAGTGTAACCATAGAGTTTTAAATTGTTTGATAGGCATTACTTAGAAGTTGACGGATTTCAAGGTAGACACAATTTTATGGATAACAACTTCTTTAATACTGCGAAAAGCGACGTTTCGGTATAGATCTACACCTACCAATGTTACCCCACTCATGTATGCAATTGTTGTTACTGTTAATCCTCTACTGTTAGTCCTCCACCTACTATATATATTCTGTACTATGTCCCTCATTCAGTCTTGCTTGACAACAGTGTAAGGATCTATTCCGAAACGTCGCTTTTAACAGTATTAAAGAAGTTGTTATCCATAAATTTGTGTCTACCTTGTCATAGAGTTTTAGATAATTTTTGTCATTAAACCACGGATCCAGGTAGTCCTGTGGGTACCCGGGTCCTACTCAGGTCCCACCCGACCCGAGTACCCGAGCTACCCGTCCCAGCCCTACACTGTTGGTAGTGGTAATCCAATCAAAGTTCAAGCAAACATGTCGTTGTAATAAAAATATAACTCAATAATTGCCATTATCAGCCATCTTTATTTTCAAAATGTCTCTTTCTTGTTAATGTTTTCTGCATAAATGAATATCACTTTCTTGTTAATATGTCCATGCTCTAATTTCTTAAGAAAAGGATGTTCCACAATGTTATGTTAAATTCCCAGATGTACAACTCCCTATATTATCATACAATCAAACATGTCATCACTAACGGAGCGCGGGTGGCTCAGTCGTCTAAGGCACCGCGATTCACTATGCAGAGTTGCATCCCTTGGGCATGCCAGAAACCTATGATTGTGGGTTCGAATCCCGGTTCGCCCCGATTATGTTTCTAGGTTTGTCAACACCATTCACCGAAGTGGTAAACGTCTTAGACCTGCATCACTTCGGGCGGTCCTCCCACATTAAACTGGCAGGCTGCCATATAACTGGAATATTGTTAAAAGCGGCGTTAAACCTAACTCACTCACTCAATCAATGTTATGACTAACTGTAGAAAATATATATGGGAGGCTTTATCTACATGGAATGCATTGTTGCTATAAGGTATAATATATACTTGCTTGTGCATGTCATACGTTACATTCTGTCGCATCCACACTGTATTTGAATTATATTTGTAGGGAGGTCAATTGCCTTTTCACAGAAATACATTTTCTTTCTATTTAAACGGTACATGATCCTGTGACGGATAGTACCCAGACACTGTCTGACCTTTGGACTTGAACCATGCTCTTACACATCTCCTCTGATACTGCTCGGCTGATGGATCTTAACATTTGGCATGTATTACTCTACACATGAAGGCGTCTGTCTTGGTATTTGGTATTTAATATTTGGTAGAAACTATCCGAAAAACCAACACCTTCCTCAATGTGTGTCCTTTTTGTTTGTTTGTTTGTTTGTTGTTGAACGCTGCACTCAGCAATATTCCAGCTATATGACGACGTCAGTAAATAATCAAACCTGGACCAGACAATACACTGATTGACATCGTGAGCATCGATCTATGCAATTGGGATACGATGACATGCGTCAACCAAGTCATCGAGTCTGACCATCCTATCTCGTTAGTCGCCTCTTACGACAAGCATAGTCGCCTTTTACGGCAAGCATGGGTTGCTGAAGACGTATTCTACCCCGGACCTTCCCACAACAGCAGTTCGTAAATAATCATGTTTGGCCCACACAATCCAGTGATTGACATCATGAGCATCGGTCTATGCAATTGATATATCAAAACCTGCATCAATAAGGTCAGCGAGCAAGACCATCCGATCAATAGGTTGCTGAAGACCATTTCTAACCCGGTTCTTCATGGAGAATCTCACCCGAGTGTCTTTTGATATTAAATATATCAACACGAGTTGATAAAGGTGGAAAAACACCAAGGCTTATCGAGGAGTTTTTCCACTTTTATGAACGAGTCACGAGGGTGAGATTTTATTTGTCATCCAACATCATTTGTCCAACTTTTTCAGTTTGTAAACAGTAATAATCAGTGTCTTAAAGGGCAAGTTCACACGGGAAAAACAAAATTTCTTTACTTTTTCATCATGAAAAATATTTACCAAGTAGTTTCAGAGGCAAAGCAATACAAATATCACAAGTATCTAAATCATTTTATTTATTAAATCGGTTCATATTTTTCACATATACTGAGAGTTCTATTTCCATAATAAACACACCATGGCTTATGCCCCTTGCAATATGACGTCATTGGTGCCAATTGATAAAGGAATGACGTCATAAGACTTTATTAGACTCG